GGATACCCTCAGCATAAAATCGATGACACTATCCAACAAGTGGCTAATATGGACAGAAGTACATTACTGGAGGATAAAAGAATGACCAGTAAGGCACTGTCTTGCCCTTTTTTGACCACATATTCTATACAGCATAGGGCCATTAAACACATTATCAATAAAAATTGGAATGTCTTATTGGCGGATCCCATCCTTTCCAAAATTCTTCCAGCAAAGCCGGAGGTTATATATAAAAAGGCTACAGCATTAAGACACCGATTAGCACCGAATGTTATCAACCCCCCAGAGAAGATCACGTTTGCACCAAACATAACAGGTTTTTTTCCTTGTAACAAGTACGTTATTTGTACGACGAATAACGTAAGAAAACAGAAACAATTTACTTTTTCTTCAAATACCACAGGAAGAACGTATAAATTAGATAAATGCATAACCTGCTATAGTAAAAATGTGGTATACCTTCTTGAATGTTCTTGCAAACTCCAGTATGTGGGACGTACTACCAGACGCCTACGTGATAGACTGAGAGAACATATCAACAACATTAAAAAGGGGTATAAAGATCACTCATTGTCTTATCACTTTAAATGTAAGCACAACAATGACCCATCATCTTTACAGTTTGTTGGGATAGATATAGTACAACCCCATTGGAGGGGGGTAAATAAATTGCGTGGAGTCTCACAACTCGAAACACGCTGGATATATGAGCTGCAGACTCTACACCCTAAAGGCCACAATATAGACATAGATCTAAATTGTTTTATCAATAATAGCTAAAACTCTATGGATCCTCTCTTTTTACTGTATCTAATGTATGTTTTCGCCATACTGAGAGAATAGGATGTGATGATATTACTTTATCGTAATTTTCGTTTTATTGTCCCCTGGTTTAGTTTTATATTTCTAGTGTCACTGATTGGGACCGGATAACAAATATTATGTAAACAATTAAAAGGATACAGTCATCTGCACCATCTTACAATTTTATGTATATATATTTTTTAGTATGGACTTATGTATGTCCATTGTTTTATTGCTCATTAGTAGATTCTCTGTTTTTAATGAATATTATATGTATATGGATTTTTATGAAGTGGTTTATATGCTAGTGCTATGTATACGGTTTTGATATGTTTTGCCCTTTAATCTGGTTAAATTGGAAGGCACTTACTTCATTATCATATAAAATATATATGAAATTGGCATTTGGATTAAATACCAAAGTGAGACCATTATGGGGTTGTAGTAGTGTTATTAAGAATGACAGCTGGCCGGCTATACGTGCTGCTGTTGTAACGGTATGTATAAGCAATGGAACCACGAAAAAATGGCGCCCATATCGGTATTCGGGTGTCCTCAGTTCGCACTTCTAGAATATGGCGCCTTCTTTACTGCGCATGCGCCTAGCATATAAATAGACGACGCACGGCTCGGCGTTCATTGGCAAATCCCCCCAGACGACGTGCGTGTGCACGAAACGCGTAGGAGGAGCCAGGAACGCCGTGACGTCACGCCGCCGGAGCATCGTGGAGCTCCGGCGGCCATCTTTACCACTGGACGGTCAGTCCGTTTTTGTATACACCGCTGTGTACCTTGGATGCGTTATTTAATAAAACCCTTTTGTAATCACCTACTACACTATGGATGCGTCCTTGTTTTGACTCCCTTGGGGAGTTTTCATTTGCAGTCATCGCTGGGTAAGGAACGTATGTGATCCTCAAGGAGAAGTCCGCAGGCTACCTACCAAGGGATTATACAGAAACTTCCAGGAGCTCTTGAGGGAGGCTAGCATACTATCTTATCCTGACCCGCTGATGTCTCTAAGGGGAATATATATTAATAAAACGCTCATTTTCCTGGGCGTTCTGGTGAGTGTGCATTCTTTCAGCACTATTTTGCACAACGCCTGAGCACCAGGAGTGCAGGACTGAGAGATCACTAAAAGTCACCCTTTTATGAACTGTCATGTTTGTTTAGACATTTATTCATATGAATCATCTATCTGTCTTTATTGGAATATCTTGGTTCTGTAGCGCTGCATTTTTGATTTATGTTATTTTTAAGGTGTATAGGTTACCTGATGTTCAGCTGCTGCAATTAGGTGCGCTCGTATACACATTTTTCTTGATCCATCCCGCCTGCCTGTCCTGGGACGATCCATCCCGCCTGCCTGTCCTGGGACGATCCATCCCTCCTGCCTGTCCTGGGACGATGTAGGGAGGACCTGCTGTGAGGACCTGTAAGGAGGACCTGCAGTGAGGACCTGTAGGGAGGACTTGTAGGGAGGACCTGTAGGGAGGACTTGTAGGGAGGACCTGTAGGAGGACTTGCAGTGAGGACCTGTAGGGAGGACCTGCAGTGAGGACCTGTAGTGAGGACTTGTAGGGAGGACCTGTAGGGAGGACCTGCAGTGAGGACTTGCAGGGAGGACCTGTAGAGAGGACCTGCAGTGAGGACTTGCAGTGAGGACCTGTAGGGAGGACTTCCAGTGAGGACTTGCAGGGAGGACCTGTAGTGAGGACCTGTAGGGAGGACCTGCAGTGAGGACCTGTAGTGAGGACTTGCAGTGAGGACCTGTAGAGAGGACCTGCAGTGAGGACTTGCAGTGAGGACCTGTAGGGAGGACTTGCAGTGAGGACCTGCAGGGAGGACTTGCAGTGAGGACCTGTAGGGAGGACCTGTAGGGAGGACTTGCAGTGAGGACCCGTAGTGAGGACCTGTAGTGAGGACTTGTAGGGAAGACCTGTAGGGAGGACCCACAGTGAGGACCTGTAGGGAGGACCTTCAGGGAGGACCCATAGTGAGGACTTGTAGGGAGGACCTGTAGGGAGGACCCACAGTGAGGACCTGTAGGGAGGACCTTCAGGGAGGACCCATAGTGAGGACCTGTAGGGAGGACCTTCAGAGAGGACCTGTAGTGAGGACCTGTAGAGAGGACCTGCAGTGAGGACTTGCAGTGAGGACCTTCAGGGAGGACCCATAGTGAGGACTTGTAGGGAGGACCTGTAGGGAGGACCTTCAGGGAGGACCCTGTAGTGAGGACCTGCAGGGAGGACCTGATGTGAGGACCTGCAGGGAGGACTTGCAGTGAGGACCTGTAGGGAGGACTTGCAGTGAGGACCCGTAGTGAGGACCTGTAGGGAGGACTTGCAGTGAGGACCCGTAGTGAGGACCTGTAGGGAGGACTTGCAGTGAGGACCTGTAGAGGAGGACTTGCAGTGAGGACCCGTAGTGAGGACCTGTAGGGAGGACCTGCAGTGAGGACTTGCAGTGAGGACCTTTAGGGAGGACCCATAGTGAGGACTTGTAGGGAGGACCTGCAGGGAGCACAGGGTCATAACTGAAGCCATTTGCTGGCTGTGAACATTTTATACTTCATTATTATGGACATTGGTGTAGACGGCTCCTGTGGCCCCAACACATTTCCTGCCACCAGACTGAAGAGGAAAGGCCGATCTCCCACCCATGGCCACCAACAGGAGACATCCGGAGGGCCCAGCAAGGATTTCATTTCCATGGAACACAAACTGTGACCTGGTCCTGGTTTTCTCAGCCGTTGTCCTTTACATTTATTGGGCTTATAACATACCATGAAGAACAGTGACATCGAACAAAATGCAGAACTCTGGATCGACCCAGCAGGATCATCTCTGAACTGAGGTGACCACATATACCACAGAGCAGCACAGTGGCTGAGTGGTTAGCACTTCCATCTGGCAGCACTCAGGTCACTGGTTCAAATCCCAACCACAGCACCACGTGCCTGGAGTTAGCATGTTCTCCCTGTGCCTGCGTGGGTTTCCTCAAGGTACTCCAGTTTCCTCCCACACCCCGAAGACATGTTGGCAGGTTAATTATAAATTGGTCCTAGTTTGTGTAGGTATGGATGTGAGTTAGGGACCTTAGATTGTACGCTCCTCGGGGGCGGGGACTGATGGGAATGTACAATATATAGGTAAAGCGCAGTGTAATATAAGTACCTGAAATAAATATTATACTTCATGCAGGACCCCCCTCTCCCCCCCCCCCCCCCAACTGGCAATGTGCAGATATGGCCGCACCAGTGTGTCTGTAATTACACAATAGAGGTTCATACTGCTACAGCAATGACCCCCTCCCCCGTTGTCCACATGGCTGCTGATATGAGGGTAGTCCTCCCATACGGGGCCCAGGCCAGCAGGGGAATCAGATGTGGGCAGGAGGGGCGGTGATCTGTAAAGCAAGGGGGGGGGGGCACTTGGAGGGACTGACCCCTGGGTGTCTCCCCTGCAGCAGCTAAAAGCTTTTCTTCTTCTTCTTCCTCCCATTGGCTTTCAGCTGCTGCAGTGAGGGAGATGGTTCCTATAATTGCCCCCTCCCCCGTCTCACCGACACCTTCCCTGTCCAAGATCTGATTTCCCCTGGTGCCTGCTAATAATGAGTTTAGTGCATTCTTAATGAAAAATATTATTTTAATATTTTTTTTGGGGTGGCCCTGTATGGGGCCCCGTGATTTCTAAGGGCCGGTTCATACTACAAAAACGCACTCTGGACGCATTCCGGACACGTTTTTGCTGACAGTTCCCACCGTTAGGGTGCAGTTTTCATGCGGTTTTGCCACGTTCCAGTATGATTGTGTGCAGAAAAAAATGCAGCATGTTCTAATTTTTTTTCTGCTCCAGAAACTGACTGGAACTGCCTGCGCTGGTGTGAACCAAGGCCATTGGAATACATGGAAAACACTGCGCGCGCATTTTTGATGCAGAAAAAAAAGCACACTAAACTTTCTCTAGTGTGAACTAGCCCTGATTGTCCGTAGTATCCAGGGGTGGACTGACAACTCATGGGCCCTGGGGCAATAGGGGATCCTGGGGCCCCTGTGTCCTTGCCCAAACTCAAAAAAGCCTATGAAAAAAGGTACCAGGGGCATCTCATGGGGCCCCCTACTGACCCCGGGCCCTCGGGCAGTGCCCAAGTTTCCAAATGGTCAGTCCGCCCCTGGTCCAGCCCATGTATATAAATGCCCAGACGGTGGCAGTGCAGGGTCAGGTGGCCGTTTATAAACGTCCTCCCTGCAGGGAAAGTGGGGGGAAAGTGTCCGGACTGGAAGGGGGGGAAAGTGTCCGGACTGGAAGGAGGGGAAAGTGTCCGGACTGGAAGGGGGGTGAAAGCGTCCGGACTGGAAGGGGGGGAAAGTGTCCGGACTGGAAGGGGGTGAAAGTGTCCGGACTGGAAGGGGGGGTGAAAGTGTCCGGATTGGAAGGGGGGGAAAGTGTCCGGACTGGAAGGGGGTGAAAGTGTCCGGACTGGAAGGAGGGGAAAGTGTCCGGACTGGACTGGAAAGGACTGGAAGGGGGGGAAAGTGTCCGGACTGGAAGGGGGTGAAAGCGTCCGGACTGGAAGGGGAAAAGTGTCCGGACTGGAAGGGGGGGAAAGTGTCCGGACTGGAAGGGGAAAAGTGTCCGGACTGGAAGGGGGGGAAAGTGTCCGGACTGGAAGGGGGTGAAAGTGTCCGGACTGGAAGGGGGTGAAAGCGTCCGGACTGGAAAGGGGGTGAAAGCGTCCGGACTGGAAGGGGGGTGAAAGCGTCCGGACTGGAAGGGGGTGAAAGCGTCCGGACTGGAAGGGGGTGAAAGCGTCCGGACTGGAAGTGGGAAAGAAAGTGTCCGGACTGGAAGGGGGTGAAAGTGTCCGGACTGGAAGGGGGTGAAAGCGTCCGGACTGGAAGGGGGTGAAAGCGTCCGGACTGGAAGGGGGTGAAAGCGTCCGGACTGGAAGGGGAAAAGTGTCCGGACTGGAAGGGGGGGAAAGTGTCCGGACTGGAAGGGGGGGAAAGTAACCGGACTGGAAGGGGGGTGAAAGTGTCCGGACTGGAAGGGGGGGAAAGTGTCCGGACTGGAAGGGGGGGAAAGTGTCCGGACTGGAAGGGGGTGAAAGTGTCCGGACTGGAAGGGGGGAAAGTGTCCGGACTGGAAGGGGGGAAAGTGTCCGGACTGGAGGGGGGAAAGGGGACTGGAGGGGGGGGGGGAAAGTGTCCGGACTGGAAGGGGGGTGAAAGTGTCCGGACTGGAGGGGGGGGAAGTGTCCGGACTGGAAGTGGGGGAAAAGTGTCCGGACTGGAAGGGGGAAAGTGTCCGGACTGGAAGGGGGGAAAGTGTCCGGACTGGAAGGGGGGAAAGTGTCCGGACTGGAAGGGGGAAAGTGTCCGGACTGGAAGGGGGGAAAGTGTCCGGACTGGAAGGGGGGGAAAGTGTCCGGACTGGAAGGGGGGAAAGTGTCCGGACTGGAAGGGGGGGAAGTGTCGGACTGGAAGGGGGGGAAGTGTCCGGACTGGAAGGGGGGGAAGTGTCCGGACTGGAAGGGGTTAATGATCTACAACTAGGCGGGGCATGGCGGGGATTTCCCTCAGATGGCAGTTCGGTCTTTGCACCAGGACAGGGGAGTTGACATCACAGTGTCCTTCCTGATAGGTTATTTACACATTCCTGTGGCTTAAACACCCTTCATGGAACCTTCTAGAGGAATTTATGGTTCTTGGGTTGGGCTGTTAAAGAGTCACTCCGCTCAGCTGGAATATTGGGGGAGTAAAGGCAAATAGACGGTGCACTTTGCAATTGAAGTTGCTCCAGCACTTAGTAAATGAGGGGGAGGCTCTGCTGACATCCATCATCCAATCAAATGCAAGCAAAAATGCAGTTTTTGTTTTTTATTTTCCTTGCATGTGATTGGGTATTGTCTGTAGAGTGAAGCTTTACCTCATTTACGAAGCTTTGAAGCACTTGCAGAGTGCACCGTCTATTTGCCTTTAGGCTCCACCCACATTGGGGGGGCGATTTAATAACGCTGGTAACGTTAGCTGTGTAAAGTCAAATTAAAAACCAGAGTTTTTCAGGTTTTTGCATTCGCGTTTTTTGGCGTTTCGCTGCATTTGCATTTTTTAGCAAAAAAAAAAAAATTTTTTTGGTCAAAAAAATTCAAAAACACTGGTTTGCGTTTTTTTTTTTTCCACGTGGGGGGGGTCAAAAACAGTCCAAAAACACTGGTTTGCCGCATTTTTACCACGTTTTGCTGTGTTTTTTTCAGCATTAGAGTGTTTTTACACATAAAAAACTCCTCTAGAAGCCCGCTAGTCCTGTTTTTTTTCCAGCCAAAAAACATTGATTCCAGTCTGTGTGTGTACAGACCCCGAGGATAACATGCTGGGGGGGTTACTGGATGTAGAAAAAAAGTCAAACGCCAAAAAACAGCCGCTGTAAAAACATCCCGTGTGCGTGAGGAATTAGTACATCAACCCCAGAGTGTGGATCTTAGTGAGGGAGGGGGAGGACTCTGATGTGAAAGGGGAGAGGCTTGTGACTCTAATTTTAAAAGGGGACAGATTGAGAACTCTGATGTGAAAGGGGAGGTACTCAGGAATCTTATGTGAAAAGGAGGGGGGGGGGGGGACTGAGGACTCTGATGTCAAAGGGAGGGACTCTGGGCTTGAGGACTCCGATGCAAAATGGAGGGACCGAGGCCTCTGGTGCAGGGGCGTTCCTAGGGTTGGTGTCACCCGGTGTGGTAACATTTGGTGACACCCCCTCCGACAATCCCGATCAGATTCTGATCCATTATGCTCAATCCACAGATCCAATCCATCCTGCGGGGATCGTCGGCTTTCTTTACAACTTACCTTTTCGTGGAGCGGGTCCGGTGTCACCCCGTATAGGTTGCATGTCGACGATCCCCGCAGGATGGTTCTGATCTGCGGATTGAGCATCATGGATCGGAGTCCTGCTTTGGATCTTGGCTTGAGCTCCTGCTACTCCTGATCAATTACCACTGTGGCTCCTCTCCTGGCTCTCTACCTCGGCTTGTCCCTCAGATCTGCTCCTGCTTATTCCTGATCAATTACCAGTGTATGACCCCGGCTTGATCCTGACCTTGCTCCTGCCTGATGTTCCATGTTTGACCCTGGCTCTGGCTTCTGACTTCGCTTCCTGCTTTGCTCATCCGCCTGAATCCACCGGTCCTCCTTCCTGCTTTGCTCATCCGCCTGAATCCACCAGTCCTCCTTCCTGCTTTGCTCATCCGCCTGAATCCACCAGTCCTCCTTCCTGCTTTGCTCATCCGCCTGAATCCACCAGTCCTCCTTCCTGCTTTGCTCATCCGCCTGAATCCACCGGTCCTCCTTCCTGCTTTGCTCATCCGCCTGAATCCACCAGTCCTCCTTCCTGCTTTGCTCATCCGCTGAATCCACCAGTCCTCCTTCCTGCTTTGCTCATCCACCTGAATCCACCAGTCCTCCGGAGGACCCCTCCTGTATCTGGTCCACCCACAGGTATCGTCTCATCGGAGATCACCAGGCATCCATACCATTGGCAACCCGTGCTTCTTTGGGCACTGCACCTCCTGTTACCACCTTCAGGGGTGCATTGCACTCAGCCATAAGGGGAGTCCTCTCTTCACCTCAGCCTCCGGTCAGTTACCTGACAGATGGTTTTGATTGCCCTTTTTTTTTTTTTCCTCTTTTTTAGAAAAATGAAGTTTATACTCATGTAGGACAAACCCCTGATGGGCCCCGCTGGTTTGCCCTAGGTCCTCTTCCCAAGTGGATGTACAACAGCCAGGCACGCAACAACTTGGACAGCCCCACAACTCAATGAACTGGCAAGGAGTATCTTTGTATGCTTTAAAAGAGATGTTTTGGGGTATTTTAATTATATTTACCTAGATTGATCTGATGCTGCATCTGTCCCCTACCAGTTCTAAGGGAGAGAACTGAGTGATCAGACACCACTGATCGCTCAATTCTCCCTGCCGATCTGAGCAGAGAGCCAAGGCTGTCGGTCTCCGACTCTCTGGTTTGCTTGCGCCAGAGCTCACTGGAGTGAAGGGCTGTGGAGGAAGCAAGAGCTGCTGGCTGAGGCTTTCAGCGGCTCCAAGCTCCTGGGTGGATCCTGACCATACGGTCGGGATTTTTCCCCATTCTGGACTGGCTGAGTACGTAAGCCGACAGTGAACTTTAGCTGGCTTCCGGCTGAAAATGGGTCACAGGAGTGCTGAACGAACTGCACTCCTGCTGAATGAACTGCACTCCTGTGGTCCACAGGAGAAGAACAGCCAAACGAGCTTTGGCTGCATTTCTCCTTTAATGTTCATTGAACTTGGATGGGGTGCAAGTTAAGCTTTGGGATTCTCTGAATTTTCATGCACAAAATGGCCAGAAGACACTCTTTGCTGACTACTCTCTTCAAGATAACTCTCCCTTTGGCAGTCAACAAGAGAACAGAAACGCCCGCCCTTACGCGTTTTGTCACTTACACTCATGACTTTCGCAAAGGATCAGCCGCTAGTGATTCATGCTGATTTATATTTTCAAGATCTGTTTAAAGGTTGCCATGGTGATATCCATCTATTGGCACATTTACCCCCTAATTATTAATGGAATTAATGAATTATTATGGACCAGGGTTACCATACTACCTGAGTCCACCAAGGCCTGGGCGTGCAGCTGGTTCACCTAGAAGTCACACGGTCAGATATAGATGCTCAGCACATACCTTCTGGGCATAGCAGGGCAGCCTCCATACAGATCCGCACTCCATGGGCTCCTCCTGCAGGGGGCACTGAGCCTTGACACGTCCCCTGGTGTGACACCACCTGCAGGGAGGACCTGTAGAGAGGACCTGCAGTGAGGACTGTAATGATCGCGGCGTCAGACCACAGCCCTTCTCACCAAACCGAAGGACTAGCCAATCTAAAACCACGCTGTCACGTGCGTAACAATGCCACGCCCAGCTGCACCCTGCACAAAGATTTTCCAGCTAATGGACCACAATCTGTGTATCTGTGATACCTCAAACAATGCATTCTATGCACCTGTAGAGCAACAGTCACTCCAAGGCAGGCCAAGATCTCCCCCTTCATCTTCATATAATCCTTGGCACACTGGCAGGTCATAGGTGGCCCTCTGCAGATTGCCTGACAGGAGCCGTTCCTCTCTCTCTCGGCTGTGCATTCAGATGTAGTCAGGGTGACCTCCACGTCAGTATGGGGAGTCAGATTTTGTAGGAAGTAACTGGCAATTGCTATGGATGACCACTGTATTTAGACATCCCGCTATAGTGGTCAGCTGGGTCTGCGCCAACTGATTTTGGAGTACCAGGACCTCTGCCTGGGTCTGCTGAGCCTCTACTACAGTAGTAGGGCCACAGTCTGGTCCTGGTGTGCCTGGGCTTCCACGAAGGCCTACTGCTGATGTGCCTGAGCTTCCCCATGGCAGCAATTGGCTTCTGTGGAGGCCTGCTGCTTGGCCACTGTAGCTTGCACATTCTGAGGTTTTTCAGCTCCTGTGCTGCTTTGACCCACAACAGGCAAAAACAGTAGCTGACCCTTTAAATGTCAGTTTGACTTCTAATGGCTTTTTATGGCTGGATTGCCCGTATCTGAGCACCGCTTGTCATATGGAGAACCCAAAGATCACCAGGCGGCTGTTTCTATAAGTAAATGGTCTTTATTGCTCTTTCAAAACAAGTGAAACAAAAACATATTTTTTCAGCAAAGAAAAACCAAACATTCCATCACTCTGTTATAACAAAAACAACAGAACGTCTCACCACCAGATATACCGGTCCCACACTGGGGTTTGGGGTTCCCACCTACTTCAGGGTATGTCAAAGGTCGCAGGAGCTCAGCAAAACAATGGGGTTGATTTACTAAAGGCAAATAGACTTTGCACTCTGCAAGGGAATTTGAGGTAGAGCTTAGTAAATGAGTTGAAGCTTCACTTTGCAAAGAATACCCAATCACCTGCCAGGAAAATAAAAAAAAAAAACATATTTGCTTTCACGATTGGATAATAGAGGTCAGGAGAGCGTCCCCTCATTTGCTAAGCTTTGGAGCAAATTCCCTTCCAGAGTGCAACGTCTACTTGCCTTTAGTGAATCAAACTCAAAGTCTCAGTTGCCAGACAGTCTATACCTGCTGGTATCTGTGAACCCCGCCACCCTACCTCTCAGACACCCGCTGGGTATTTACTGTTTATTTCTCTCTCAAGCAGGTGGGTTAACCTGTTTTGGGACCAAACTGCCTGTAATAGGTATTTGAAGGCTCTTTCCCACCTAAAGTCTCTCTGAGCCTCTGAATTCCAGGTCCCAAATGAAGACTTACCAATCCTGAGAGAACTGTATATCAATCCTCTCTTTTCTAAGCAAACTACCTGGAACCCCTCACCTGGCCTGAGTGAGAACCCCTGAGTACTCAACAATGACTTCAAACCATCCCCCTTAATGGGACCATAACTCAAATAGTGGGGACATATACCTACTGTCCAGGGCTCATCCCTGGTGTCCTCTACAGCATAAATAATTATACTTCTAAATATTCAATATAAAGTACTTATCAATTTAAATAAACTTTGCTTTGCATTAATCACATAAATAATAAAACTGCTTTATACTTTTGGGTATCCATTCAAGTAGCAGGTCTGGATGAATTGGGGGCCTCCCAATGAAATGTTTGAGGATCTTCCAATGAAATGTTTGAAGATCTTCCAATGAAATGTTTGGGGCCTCCCAATGAAATATTTGGGGACCTCCCAATGAAATGTTTGGGGACCTCCCAATGAAATGGGGACCTCCCAATGAAATGTTTGGTGACCTCCCAATGAAATGTTTGGGGACCTCCCAATGAAATGTTTGAGGATCTCCCAATGAAATATTTGGGGACCTCCCAATGAAATGTTTGGGGACCTCCCAATGAAATGTTTGCAGACCTCCCAATGAAATGTTTGAGGATCTCCCAATGAAATATTTGGGGACCTCCCAATTAAATGTTTGGTGACCTCCCAATTAAATGTTTGGCGACCTCCCAATTAAATGTTTGGCGACCTCCCAATTAAATGTTTGGCGACCTCCCAATGAAATATTTGGGGACCTCCCAATTAAATGTTTGGCGACCTCCCAATTAAATATTTGGGGACCTCCCAATTAAATGTTTGAGGATCTCCCAATTAAATGTTTGGCGACCTCTCAATTAAATGTTTGGGGACCTTCCAATGAAATGTTTGGGGACCTTCCAATGAAATGTTTGAGTATCTCCCAATGAAATGTTTGGGGACCTCCCAAATGAGTTGACCCAATGATGACATCATCAAACACACCAACGAACAGTTTTTTTTCTGAATTTCTTACAAACATTCTAACGAAAATCTAACCACGATGGGCAGTTTAAGGTAGTTTGTTGGTTATACAATGTTGATGGTTTACGATTTAATGAAAGTTCAAGTCAAAATTTGAATTAAATCCCAATAAATGGCTTCAGCTGAAACTTTCCTCATCCATAGTCCTCATTCAGGACTGCTCCAGCTCAAAACCCTCTTTACTCCACATCTGTTCCCCTGTTAGGTGTCATGTATCGATCGCTGTTTGTCTATTACATCACTCTTAGGAGTAAATTTATAAAAAAAATAATAAAAAATTGCTGGGCGCAGCATTCACCCAGTGTCATGAATACTGATTGTAATTGGCTCAAAAGGTTTATTTCCTGTGATTGTCAGCTCCATCTAGTGGTCATAATGTGGTATTTTCTTCATTGGGATATTTTCAGGAGAATACCACATTATGGCCATTAGATGGAGCTGACGATCATAGAAAATCAACACATTTTTATGAATAGACTCCTAAAGTGTACATAGAGCCAAGCTTTTTTTTTTTTAGCGTTGGGTAGCTTTGGGATGGATTAGGACCTCTGCCAGGTATTTACCGCCAATTAAGTGCTCCTTTTAAGGAGATTTCCTCTCAGCAGACAGGAAATGAGAGGAAATCTCCAACAGAGACATAGATAGAAATCCAGATCTTAACAGCTGTGGGGGGGTCTAGCCTTCCCCTTCTCTACTCTGTATTGCTGTTGTATTGCTTGGCTCCAGGTACACTTTAGTCGGAGAGTGTCAGCTTCCATCTATAGCTGGGCAGTGAGGGATTTTGCTTGAGAATAAGAGTTCCTCTTTGGCCCCATTTACACTTTGCATAGTTGCGATTTTGTGTGGGTGATTTTCATGCGGTTCCGAGTGTGCTGCGTAGGGCAGCCCATTCACCTCAATGCGCACTTATCACCAATATGAAGCTCCTTTTTTTTATCGACAAGCTTCAAGCGATTTTTTAAACGACAGGTTTGCAGCGATTGCGTGACAATTGCGGCATAATCGCTCCGCGTTTGGGTGCCATTTAGAATGAACGGCATCCAAATGTGTGTTGCGTGTTTTGCACCGACTGACACATGATTTGGAATCGCAGGCAGAATCGCGGCGATTCCAAATCGCAAAGTGTGAGTAAGGGACGGACTGACAACTCACGGGGCCCATGTGTCCTCGCCCACACTCAAACCACACCCACAAAAGCCTATGAAAGGTACCAGGGGCATCTCATGGGGCCCCCTACTGACCCTGGGCCCTCGGGCAGAGCCCCTGGTGTGAGTGGAGCCGTAAGTCTCATGCACACTGGGCGTTCGCTTTCCTCCTCGGCAGAGCTCACGGCAGGAAAAAAGGTTGCTTACAAAACACACGCCTAAAGCTACATATTGCATGCGTGTTTGGAGGCGTTTGAGGCGCGTCAAGCTTTTGGGTGTTAATGGATTCTATTGGCCTGAATGTTAATTTATTCTGGCCATTGGAATGCCTTAACGCTCAAACGTGTCTAGAGTCCACACGCATTTAGACGCGTCTACACGCATTTTTGTTATGTTAAGCGTTTTTCAGCTAAAAAAAAAACGCTTGTGATTTTTACTTCAGCCTGTAAATGCCTATGTGCGCTCGGACACATGGGGAGGGGGGAGGATTTACAGAAACAAAAGGGTGCAAAATCTGGTGCAGCTCTGCATAGTAGCCAATCAGCTTCCAGGTTTTATTGCCAAAGCTTCACTGAACAAGCTGAAGTTTGAAGCTGATTGGCTCCCATGCGCAGCTGCTCCAGAGAGCTCTAGTTTTAGTAAAGCATCCCCAAAGAGGAGCAATCTTGTTAGGAGGAAAGCTGCTGAGAGTCTTGACACTTCCCCGTAGCCCTCGTTGTGCTCTCTGAGGTCACTTGGTGAAGGTGATGAGGTATTCCGGATAGGCCTGGATGTCATTAAATATCACGAACACCGAGGGTCCTGATACGCTGTCTGTGACGCTGTCATACAGGTCGGTGGGGTTCGATGGGCTCTTGGCTGGAGGGGCGATCATGGTCTATTCCCAGCACAGTACACACCGGTGAGGACACGGGCCAGGTACATGTATTTGTATCCATTTGTATCCGGTTTGGAGTACGTATCATCCGAAGAGTAAATGGCTTCAGCAGCGAAATACGTCCCTCTTCCCAACAACGCAGCTGGACTCATAGAAAGAGAAAGGAAATGATTATCCTGAGATCAGAAATACAACACGGAATATACAGGATATCTACATATGAGGGAACACGGAATATACAGGATATTTACATATGAGGGAACACGGAATATACAGGATATCTACATATGAGGGAACACGGAATATACAGGATATCTACATATGAGGGAACACGGAATATACAGGATATCTACTACATACGAGGGAACACGGAATATACAGGATATCTACATACGAGGGAACACGGAATATACAGGATATCTACATACGAGGGAACACGGAATATACAGGATATCTACATATGAGGGAAACAATATACAGGATATCTACATATGAGGGAACACGGAATATACAGGATATCTACATATGAGGGAACACGGAATATACAGGATATCTACATACGAGGGAACACGGAATATACAGGATATCTACATACGAGGGAACACGGAATATACAGGATATCTACATACGAGGGAACACGGAATATACAGGATATCTACATACGAGGGAACACGGAATATACAGGATATCTACATACGAGGGAACACGGAATATACAGGATATCTACATACGAGGGAACACGGAATATACAGGATATCTACATAGGAGGGAACACGGAATATACAGGATATCTACATACGAGGGAACACAGAATATACAGGATATCTACATATGAGGGAACATGGAATATACAGGTTATCTACATATGAGGGAACACGGAATATACAGGATATCTACATATGAGGGAACACGGAATATACAGGATATCTACATATGAGGGAACACGGAATATACAGGATATCTACATATGAGGGAACAGGGAATATACAGGATATCTACATATGAGGGAACACGGAATATACAGGATATCTACATATGAGGGAACATGGAATATACAGGATATCTACATAGGAGGGAACACAGAATATACAGTTGCAAGAAAAAGTATGTGAACCCCTTGGGATTACGTGGAGTTTTTGCATGAATTGGGCATAAAATGTGCTCTGAACGTCATCTAAGTAACAACAATAGAAGAACACAGTCTGCTGAACATAATACTACACAAACATTAGATGTTGCCATGGTTTAATTGCACATAACATGTAAACATTCACAGAGCAGGGAGGAAAAAGTATGTGAGGCCCTAGCTTAATGACTTCTCCCAGAGCTAATTGGAGCCAGGAGTGAGCCAACCTTGACTCCAATCAGTGTGATGATATTGGATGTGTTGCTGACACCTGTTTTGGGTTTACTGGTTTCAAGAAGCACTGTCTGATGTGAACCATGCCTCGCAGAAAAGAGCTCTCAGAAGACCTACCATCAAGAATTGTTGACTTGCATGAAGCTGGAAAGGGTTACAAAAGTATCTCCTTGAGCCTTGATGTTCATGTGTCCACGGTAAGACAGACTGTCTACAAATGGAGAAAGTTTAGCACTGTTGCTACTCTCCCTAGGCGTGGTCGTCCTGTAAAAATGACTGCAAGAGCACAGCGCAGAATGCTGCATGAGGTAAAGAAGAATCCCAGAGTGTCAGCTAAAGACCTACAGAAATCTCTGGCACATGCTAACATTTTTGTTGACACATCTACAATAAGGAAAACATGAAACAAGAATGGAGTACATGGGAGGACACCACGGAGGAAGACATTGCTGGCCAAAAAGAAGATTGCAGCACGTTTGAAGTTTGCAAAAGAGCACCTGGATGTTCCACAGCACTACTGGCAGAATATACTGTGGACAGATGAAACCAAGATTGAGTTGTTTGGGAAGAACACACAACACTATGTGTGGAGAAAAAAAGGCCCAGCACACCAACATCAAAACCTCATCCCCACTGTAAAACATGGCGGAGGGAGCATCATGGTTTGGGGCTGCTTTGCTGCCTCAGGGCCTGGGCGGATTGCTGTCATTGATGGGAAAATAAATTCCAGAGTTTATCAAGACATTTTGCAGGAAAACATAGGACCATCTGTCCACCAACTGAAGCTCCGCAGAGGATGGGTGATGCAACAGGACAATGACCCAAAGCATACAAGTAATTCAACAAAACAATGGCTGCAACAGCACAGAATATGCCTTCTGGAGTGGCCCAGTCAGAGTCCTGACCTCAACCCCATTGAAATGCTGTGGCATGACCTTAAGAGAGCGATTCACACCAGACATCCCAAGAATATTGCTACACTGAAACAGTTTGTGAAGAGGAGTGGTCCAAAATGACTCCAGATCGTTGTGCAGGTCTGATCTGCAACTACAGGAAACGTTTGGTTGAGGTTATTGCTACCAAAGGAGGGTCAACCAGTTATTAAGTCCAAAGGTTCACATACTTTTTCCTCCCTGCTCTGTGAATGTTTACATGTTATGTGCAATTAAACCATGGCAACATCTAATGTTTGTGTAGTATTATGTTCAGCAGACTGTGTTCTTCTATTGTTGTGACTTAGATGACGTTCAGAGCACATTTTATGCCCAATTCATGCAAAACTCCACGTAATCCCAAGGGGTTCACATACCTTTTCTTGCAACTGTACATGATATCTACATAGGAGGGAATACGGAATATACAGGATATCTACATACGAGGGAACACGGAATATACAGGATATCTACATATGAGGGAACACGGAATATACAGGATATCTACATACGAGGGAACACGGAATATACAGGATATCTACATACGAGGGAACACGGAATATACAGGATATCTACATACGAGGGAACACGGAATATACAGGATATCTACATATGAGGGAACACAGAATATACAGGATATCTACATATGAGGGAACATGGAATATACAGGTTATCTACATATGAGGGAACACAGGATATAGACCAATCAGCCATAACATTCTGACCACTGACAGGTAAAGGGAATAACATTGATGATCTCACTACAATGACATCTGAAAGTGGGTGGCATATATAAGGCAGCAAGTAAACATGTTGTCCCTGAAGCTGATGTTGAAAGTGGGAAAAATGGACAAGTGTAAGGATTTGAGGGACTTTGACCAGAACCAAATTATAATGTCTAGACGACTGGGTCAGAGCAACTCCAAAACTGCAGCTCTTGAGGGACGTTCCTGGTCTACAGTGGTCAGGGCTCACTGATGGAGGTGAAGAAGGAAGGCTTACTGATGGAGGTGGGGAGGGTAGGCTCATTGATGGAGGTGGGGAGGGAAGGGTCATTGATGGAGGTGGGGAGGGAAGGCTCATTGATGGAGGTGGGGAGGGAAGGCTCATTGACGGAGGTGGAGGGGGTCATTAATGGCAGTAGGTAAGAAAGGCTCATTGATAGAGGTGAGGAGGAAAGGCTCTTTGATGGAGGTGGGAAGGGAAGGCTCATTGCTGGAGGTGGCAAGGGAAGGCTCTTTTATGGAGGGGGTAAGGAAGGCTCATTGATGGAGGTGGAGGGAAGACTCATTGGTGGAGGTGGGAAGGGAAGGCTCATTGTTGAAGGTGGCAAGGGAAGGCTTGTTGATGGAGGTGGTGAGGGAAGGCTCTTTGATGCAGGGGGTAGGGAAGGCTTATTGATGGAGGTGGAGCAGGGAAGGCTCTTTGATGGAGGAGGGAGGGAAGTCTCATTGATGGAGGTGGATGAGGGAAGCCTCTTTGATGGAGGTGGGGAAGGAAAGCTCATTGATGGAGGTGGAGGGAAGGCTCATTGATGGAGGTGGGGAGGGAAGGTTCATTGATGGAGGTGTGGAAGGAAGGCTTGTTGATGGTGGTGGGGGGGGTCATTAATGGAGGTAGGTAAGGAAGGCTCATTGATAGAAGTGGGGAGGGAAGGCTCGTTGATGGAGGGAGGAGGGAGGGCTCATTGATGGTGGTAGAGTAGGGAAGACTCATTAATGGAGGTGGTAAAGGAAGGCTCATTGCTGGAGGTGGTGAGGGAAAGTTTGTTGATGGAGGCGGTGAGGGAAGGCTCTTTGATGGAGGGGGTAGGGAAGGCTTATTGATGGAGGTGGAGCAGGGAAGGCTCTTTGATGGAGGAGGGAGGGAAGGCTCATTGATGGAGGTGGATGAGGGAAGCCTCTTTGATGGAGGTGGGGAAGGAAAGCTCATTGATGGAGGTGGAGGGAAGGCTCATTGATGGAGGTGGGGAGGGAAGGTTCATTGATGGGGGTGTGGAAGGAAGACTTGTTGATGGCAATGGGGGGGGTCATTAATGGAGGTAGGTAAGGAAGGCTCATTGATAGAGTGAGGAGGAGGGAAGGCGCATTGTTGGAGGGAGGAGGGAGGGCTCATTGATGGTGATGGAGGAAGGAAGACTCATTGGTGGAGGTGGTAAAGGAAGGCTCATTGCTGGAGGTGGTGAGGGAAAGTTTGTTGATGGAGGTGGTGAGGGAAGGCTCTTTGATGGAGGGGGTAGGGAGGGCTCATTTGAAGGAGATGGAGGAGGGAAGGTTCATTGATGGAGATGGAGGAGGGAAGGCTTATTGATGGAGTTGGGGAGGGAAGGCTCTTGATGGAGGTGGGGAAGGAAGGCTCGTTAACGGAGGTGGAGGGGGTCATTAATGGAGGTAGGAAGGAAGGCTCATTGATAGAGGGAAAGAAAGGCTCTTTGATGGAGGGAGGAGGGAAGGCTCATTGCTGGAGGTGGCAAGGGAAGGTTTGCTGATGAAGGTGGCGAGGGAAGGCATTTTGATGGGAGGGGGTAGGGAAGGCTCATTGATGGAGATGGAGGAGGGAAGGTTCATTGATGGAGGTGGAGGAGGGAAGGCTCTTTGATGGAGGGGGTAGGGAAGGCCCATTGATGAAGATGGAGGAGGGAAGGCTCATTGATGGAGTTGGGGAGGGAAGGCTCTTGATGGAGATGGGGAGGGAAGGCTCATTGATGGAGATGGAGGAGGGAAGGTTCATTGATGGAGGTGGAGGAGGGAAGGCTCTTTGATGGAGGGGTTAGGGAAGGCTCGTTGACGGAGGTGGTGGAGGGGGTCATTAATGGAGGTAGGTAAAGAAGGCTCATTAATAGAGGGAAAGAAAGGCTCTTTAATGGAGGGAGGAGGGAAGGCTCATTAATGGAGGTGGAGGAGGGAAGGCTCATTTATGGAGGTGGTGAGGGAAGACTCATTGATGAAGGTGGGGGGGCTCATTGATGGAGATGGGGAGGGAAGGCTGACCCATGTAATCTGATCCAATAGAAGCTCAAATTGCTAAAAAAAAAAGTGAATGCTGGTTCTGATATAAGGTGTCAGGATACTCGGAACATCGCAGTTTGCTGTGTATGGGGCTCTTGTTGCTACGTCCCCCTTGCTTCCTGCATGTGATGTCATCGCCCTGAGCTCCAGCTTGCAGCCACTTCCCTGTGCCACTCTCCTCTGTTACTAGGTTACAGCAATCCATGCCGGCTACAGCATCTCCTCCCGGCCACTTCCCTGTCAAACTCGTCCTGCTTACTGTATCCAACTGGAGGGGGCAAGAAGGATGTAGCAACGCATTTCAGGGCAGAACCTCCCCTTTCTCAAGCCTACTACTATGGCCGTGAGTACAGCCCTGGATGGATTTGGGAGGTGAAAAAAGTCCAACAGTGACAGAGCAGAGTGGTGCAGGGACAGCATTGTTGAAGCATCTTTACCAATAGCTGTGCAGCGCTGGACACTTTTCACCTCCCAGATCTAGCCAGGGCTGCACTCGCAGCCACATCCCTTATAAATGGATAGCAGGTTTGAGAAAGGAGAGGTTCTGCCCTGAAATGCGTTGCTACGTCCCCCTTGCTTTTAGCATGTGATCTCCTATAGCTCCAGTGTGCAGCCGCTTCCCTGTACCACTCTCCTCTGTTACTAGGTTACAGCAATCCATGCCGGCTACAGCATCTCCTCCCGGCCACTTCCCCTGTCAGACAGCGCTTTACATATAGATTGTACATTCACATCAGTCCCCCGCCCCCGAGGAGCGTACAATCTAAGGTCCCTAACTCACATTCATACATACACATACTGGGGACAATTTAGACAGGAGTCAATTAACCTCCCAGCATGTCTTTGGAGTGTGGGAGGAAACTGGAGTACCTGGAGGAAACCTATGCAGGCACAGGGAGAACATGCAAACTTCAGGAAGGTGGTACCGTGGCTGGGATTCAAACCAAGGACCCGAGTACTGCCAGGCAGGAGTGCTAACCATTTAGCCGCTGTGCTGCCCATGTTGTTTATGATCTGAGACCTCTGTGCCAGTTACAAAGATACAGCCATGCTCTATGGACAGTTAAATGGAAGCCAAATTAACCCATAAGCATACAAACTCCATGCAGATATATTGTAGTCTTGCCAGGAAGTGTACCAAGGACACCTCAGCATTAAGCCGGTACTGCCCCATTATCGTACTGTCCCGTTATCGCACTGCCCCGTTATCGCGCTGCCCCATTATCGTGCTGCCCCATAATCACACTGCCCCGTTATCGTACTGCCCCATTATCGCGCTGCCCCATTATCACACTGCCCCGTTATCGCGCTGCCCCATTATCGTGCTGCCCCATAATCACACTGCCCCGTTATCATACTGCCCCATTATCGCGCTGCCCCATTATCGCGCTGCCCCATTATCGTACTGCGCCATTATCGTGCTGCCCCATTATCGCGCTGCCCCATTATCGTGCTGCCCCATTATCGTACTGTCCCGTTATCGCACTGCCCCGTTATCGCGCTGCCCCATTATCGTGCTGCCCCATAATCACACTGCCCCGTTATCGTACTGCCCCTTTATCGTGCTGTCCCGTTATCGCGCTGCCCCATATCGCGCTGCCCCCATTATCGCGCTGCCCCATTATCGCGCTGCCCCATTATCGCGCTGCCCCATTATCGTGCTGCCCCATTATCGTACTGCGCCATTATCGTACTGCCCCATTATCGTGCTGCCCCATTATAGTACTGCCCCATTATAGTACTGCCCTATTATCGTGCTGCCCTATTATCGTGCTGCCCCATTATCGTACTGCCCCATTATCGTGCTGCCCCATTATCGTGCTGCCCCATTATCGTGCTGCCCCATTATAGTACTGCCCCATTATCGTACTGCCCCATTATCGTGCTGCCCCATTATCGTACTGCCCCATTATCGCACTGCCCCATTATCGTACTGCCCCATTATCGTGCTGCCCCATTATATCGCACTGCCCCACTACCATTATCGTGCCCCACTACCATTATGCGCCATTATCGCACTGCCCCACTATCACAATGCCCCGTTATCGTGCTGCCCCATTATAGTACTGCCCTATTATCGTGCTGCCCCACTATCACAATGCCCCGTTATCGTGCTGCCTCATTATCGTACTGCCCCACTATCGTACTTCACCACTATCGCACTGCCCCATTATCGCACTGCCCCATTATCGCACTGCCCCATTATCGTACTGCCCCATTATCGCACTGCCCCATTATCGCACTGCCCCATTATCGCACTGCCCCATTATCGTACTGCCCCATTATCGCACTGCCCCATTATCGTACTGCCCCATTATCGTACTGCCCCATTATCGCACTGCCCCATTATCGCACTGCCCCATTATCGCACTGCCCCATTATCGTACTGCCCCATTATCGTACTGCCCCATTATCGTACTGCCCCATTATCGTACTGCCCCATTATCGTACTGCCCATTATCGTACTGCCCCACTATCACTACTGCCCCACTGTTATGCCCGTTATCGTACTGCCCCATTATCGTACTGTCCCACTATCGTACTGCCCCATTATCGTACTGCCCCATTATCGTACTGCCCCACTATTGTGCTGCCCCACTAGCATGCTGCCCCACTACCACTATCGCACTGCCCCATTATCGTACTGCGCCATTATCGTACTGCCCCACTATTGTGCTGCCCCACTAGCATGCTGCCCCCCACTACCACTATCGTACTGCCCCATTATCGTACTGCGCCATTATCGTGCTGCCCCATTATCATGCTGCCCCATTATCGTGCTGCCCCATTATCGTACTGCCCCATTATCGTACTGCCCCATTATCGTACTGCCCCATTATCGTACTGCCCTATTATCGTACTGCCCCACTATCACACTGCCCTGTTATCGTACTGCCCCATTATCGTACTGTCCCACTATCGTACTGCCCCATTATCGTACTGCCCCATTATCGTACTGCCCCACTATTGTGCTGCCCCACTAGCATGCTGCCCCACTACCACTATCGCACTGCCCCATTATCGTACTGCGCCATTATCGTGCTGCCCCATTATCATGCTGCCCCATTATTGTGCTGCCCCATTATCGTACTGCCCCATTATCGTACTGCCCCATTATCGTGCTGCCCCATTATCATGCTGCCCCACTATCGTACTGCCCCATTATCGTACTGCCCCATTATCGTACTGCCCCATTATCGTACTGCCCCATTATCGTACTGCCCCACTATCGTACTGCCCCATTATCGTACTGCCCCATTATCATACTGCCCCACTATCGTACTGCCCCATTATCGTACTGCCCCATTATCGTACTGCCCCACTATCGTACTGCCCCGTTATCGTACTGCCCTCATTATCGTACTGCCCCATTATCGTACTGCCCCGTTATCGTACTGCCCCAATGTTTTTATACTTTTAGATCGGAGTGTTTTGGAGCGCGGTGAATATTTTGTTTGTATGTTTATGAGAAGGATAATGGTGGTGGTTGGGTGAGGGGGGGGAGGGGGTCACTTCTCACCATTGCTCCCAGCGTAGGCTCTGTTGAACCCATTACAATTTATATGCTTGGTTGTCTCAATCTCGGTGCCATGGAAGAGCCTCTTCTCATTGGTCCTGGTGCCGTTCTTGGTATCGATGCTGTTCTTCTTAATTTGGTAATTTTGATACAAATGTTTGTTCTGTATTCTCTCAATCTGGGAGGAAAAGAAATAAAACAGAATCATCCTCTCTGTCCACTGATCCACGTTCACCAACCTCCATCACCTCTCTGTTCACTGATCCACGTTCACCAACCTCCATCACCTCTCTGTTCACTGATCCACGTTCACCAACCTCCATCACCTCTCTGTTCACTGATCCACGTTCACCAACCTCCATCACCTCTCTGTTCACTGATCCACGTTCACCAACCTCCATCAGCTCTCTGTTCACTGATCCACGTTCACCAACCTCCATCACCTCTCTGTTCACTGATCCACGTTCACCAACCTCCATCACCTCTCTGTTCACTGATCCACGTTCACCAACCTCCATCACCTCTCTGTTCACTGATCCACGTTCACCAACCTCCATCACCTCTCTGTTCACTGATCCACGTTCACCAACCTCCATCACCTCTCTGTTCACTGATCCACGTTCACCAACCTCCATCACCTCTCTGTTCACTGATCCACGTTCACCAACCTCCATCACCTCTCTGTTCACTGATCCACGCTCACCAACCCCCATCACCTCTCTGTTCACTGATCCACGTTCACCAACCTCCATCACCTCTCTGTTCACTGATCCACGCTCACCAACCAACCCATCACCTCTCTGTTCACTGATCCACGTTCACCAACCTCCATCACCTCTCTGTTCACTGATCCACGTTCACCAACCTCCATCACCTCTCTGTTCACTGATCCACGTTCACCAACCTCCATCACCTCTCTGTTCACTGATCCACGTTCACCAACCTCCATCACCTCTCTGTTCACTGATCCACGTTCACCAACCTCCATCACCTCTCTGTTCACTGATCCACGTTCACCAACCTCCATCACCTCTCTGTTCACTGATCCACGTTCACCAACCTCCATCACCTCTCTGTTCACTGATCCACGTTCACCAACCTCCATCACCTCTCTGTTCACTGATCCACGTTCACCAACCTCCATCACCTCTCTGTTCACTGATCCACGTTCACCAACCTCCATCACCTCTCTGTTCACTTATCCACGTTCACCAACCTCCATCACCTCTCTGTTCACTGATCCACGTTCACCAACCTCCATCACCTCTCTGTTCACTGATCCACGTTCACCAATCTCCATCACCTCTCTGTTCACTGATCCACGTTCACCAACTTCCATCACCTCTCTGTTCACTGATCCACGTTCACCAACCCCCATCACCTCTCTGTTCACTGATCCACGTTCACCAACCTCCATCACCTCTCTGTTCACTGATCCACGTTCACCAACCTCCATCACCTCTCTGTTCACTGATCCTCTGTTCATCAACCTCCATCACCTCTCTGTTCAATGATCCACATTCACCAACCTCCATCACCTCTCTGTTCACTGATCCTTCATTCATCAACCTCCATCACCTCTCTGTTCACTGATCCACGCTCACCAACCTCCATCACCTCTTTGTTCACTGATCCACGCTCACCAACCTCCATCACCTCTCTGTTCACTGATCCACGTTCACCAACCTCCATCACCTCTCTGTTCACTGATCCTCTGTTCATCAACCTCCATCACCTCTCTGTTCAATGATCCACATTCACCAACCTCCATCACCTCTCTGTTCACTGATCCTTCATTCATCAACCTCCATCACCTCTCTGTTCACTGATCCACGCTCACCAACCTCCATCACCTCTTTGTTCACTGATCCACGCTCACCAACCTCCATCACCTCTCTGTTCACTGATCCACGTTCACCAACCTCATCTGACACCAGGGGAAGGATACCCTCACTGTATGGGGGAGTCATGTCTATATAGAGGGGTCTGTGCTGGATGGGAAGATGACACCAGTGGGGTGCTTCCAGGGGTGGGGGGGCGTACAGCAAGCATCATGAAGTGTGTGTGTATATATATATATATATAGAGAGAGAGAGAGATATACACACATATATACAAATGCTGCTCAAGAAAATTCTGAGGCACAAAGGGAGCTCAAGTTCCTCCTCTCCCTACAAACCACTTGAAGACCCAACATTTTCTATGAAGTTTTCCTCACGGGTTCAAAACTGTATTTTTTGCTAGAAAATTCCTCTAACCCCCAAACATTTTATTTTTTATATATATATATATATATACACACACAGGTGAAACTCAAAAAATGAGAATCTGGTGCATTCATTCATTCATTCATTGATTTCAGTGCAGCAACTTAAAAGCTGAAACTAATATATGAGACTCATTCCATGCAAAGCAAGATAGTTCCAGCCGTGATTTGTCATCATTGTGATGATTATGGCTTACAGCTCATGAAAACCCCAAATCCACAATCTCAGAAAATGAGAATATTGTGAAAAGGTGGAATAATCTCGGCTCAAAGTGTCCCACTCTAATCAGCTCATTCAGCCATAACACCTGCAAAGGGTTCCTGAGCCTTTAAATGGTCTCTCAGTCTGGTTCAGTAGGAATCCCAATCATGGGAAAGACTGCTGACCTGACACCATCACTGACACCCTCCATAAGGAGGGAAAGCCTCAAAAGGGAATTGCAGAAGAAGTTGGATGTTCCCAAAGTGCTGTATCAAAGCACATTAATAGAAAGTTATGTGGAGGGGAAAAGTGTGGAAGAAAAAGGTGCACAAGCAGCAGGGATGACCGCAGCCTGGAGAGGATTGTCAGGAAAAGGCCATTCAATAGTGTTGGGGACTTTCACAAGGAGTGGACTGAGGCTGGAGTCAGTGCATCAAGAGCCACCACACACAGACGGATCCTGGACATGGGCTTCAAATGTCGTATTCCTCTTGTCAAGCCGCTCCTGAACAACAAACAACGTCAGAAGTGTCTTACCTGGGCTAAAGAAAAACAGACCTGGTCTGCTGCTCAGTGGTCCAAAGTCCTCTTTTCTGATGAGAGCAACATCTCATTTGGAAACCAAGGGCCCCGAGTATGGAGGAAGAATGGAGAAGCCCAAGGACCCCAAGTATGGAGGAAGAATGGAGAGGCACAGGGACCCGGAATATGGAGGAAGAATGGAGAGGCACAAGGACCCCGAGTATGGAGGAGGAATGGAGAGGCCCAAGGACCTGGAGTATGGAGGAACAATGGAGAGGCCCAAGGACCCCGAGTATGGAGGACAATGGAGAGGCCCAAGGACCCCGAGTATGGAGGAAGAATGGAGAGGCCCAAGGACCCTGAGTATGGAGGAAGAATGGAGAGGCCCAAGGACACCAAGTATGGAGGAAGAATGGAGGGGCCCAAGGACCACGAGTATGGAGGAAGAATGGAGAAGCCCAAGGACCCCGAGTATGGAGGAAGAATGGAGAGGCCCAAGGACCCCGAGTATGGAGGAAGAATGGAGAGGCCCAAGGACCCCGAGTATGGAGGAAGAATGGAGAGGCCCAAGGACCCCGAGTATGGAGGAAGAATGGAGAAGCCCAAGGACCCCGAGTATGGAGGAAGAATGGAGAGGAATCAAGGACCCCGAGTATGGAGGAAGAATGGAGAGGCCCAAGGACCCCGAGTATGGAGGAAGAATGGAGAGGCCCAAGGACCCCGAGTATGGAGGAAGAATGGAGAGGCACAAGGACCCCGAGTATGGAGGAAGAATGGAGAGGCACACACTGCAAGATGCCTGAAGTCCAGTGTGAAGTTTCCACAGTCTGTGTTGATTTGGGGAGCCATGTCATCTGCTGGTGTTGGCCCACTATGCTTCATTAAGTCCAGGGTCACCGCAGCCATCTGCCAGGAGATTTTGGAGCACTTCATGCTTCCTTCTGTAGACGAGATTTATGGGGACGCTGACTTCATTTTCCAGCAGGACCTGGCTCCGCCCACACTGCCAAAAGCACCAAAACCTGGTTCACTGACCGTGGGATTACTGTGTTTGATTGGCCAGCAAACTAACCTGACCTGAACCCCATAGAGAATCTATGGGGCATTGCCAAGAGAAAGATGAGAGACATGAGACCGAACAATGCAGAAGAGCTGAAGGCCGCTATTGAAGCATCCTGGTCTTCCATAACACCTCAGCAGTGCCACAGGCTGATAGCTTCCATGCCACACCGCATTGAGGCAGTAATTGCTGCAAAAGGGGCCCCAACCAAGTACTGAGTACATATGCAGCTTCTACTTTTCAGAGGTGCGATATTGTTCTATGTACAATCCGTGTTTTATTGATTGCATGGAATATTCTCATTTTCTGAGATTGTGGATTTGGGGTTTCCATGAGCTGTAAGCCATAATCATCACAATGATGACAAATCACGGCTTGAACTATCTTGCTTTGCATGGAATGAGTCTCATATATTAGTGTCACCTTTTAAGTTGCTGCACTGAAATAAATGAACTTCTACACCATATTCTAAATTTTTGAGTTTCACCTGTATATATATATATATATATATATATATATATATATATATATATATATATACAGTACATACACACACATACACACACACATATATGTGGGGGCGCTTAAAAAACATTTTTTTTTTTTGAGCACATAGATTCCCCGGTCCCTTTCTCTGCAGCTTCAGCTGCACTTGACATGAATTATTGGGAAGTGCTCTGGGGTTTCCTGGTCGTTGACAAACTGAAGTATAGTAAAAATAGTTTACTATGCTTCAGTTATGAATGAACACAGCTAGTGATCAGTACTGATTGCTCACTGTACTCATTGAGGAAAGGAAGGGGCTGGTAAGTATCATATATTTATGTTCCATTATCTACACTGCAGAAGCAGGAGGGAATGTGCATTAGATATTGCTAAGATCCTTGAAATCTGCATGTGTTACGTGGAAGTCATTGCGACCTAACAGAACGGAGTTCCACCTTCAGTATTACCTTAATGATTCTCATTTGACACGTCTGTGTAAAGAGTCCCTCCACCTCTGAGTAGTCCGGGCTGCTGCTGTTCAGAGGTACCACCTTCAGCTGGATGTTGTCCATGACATCCCAATACGGAGGGATTACGAGGGGCGCGGCTGTAATATGAAGAGTTACATTTTGGTTTCATTGTAGAACATAATTACCACCCATCAGTGTACATTGATAGGAATCTCAGAGATCAAGAGGCCACAATCATTGTCACACACAGCAGACCTCATTGCACACCTCCCTCAGTCATCCTACTGACCTAGTCCTCCACCATGGATGAACTAGTATCGGAAGTACAGGAAGGAGAGTATTGAAGAAGTAGTTGATTAGGCAAAGAATTCAACAAAAAAAAAGCCAACGTGTTCCAGGGGTTCTAACCTTTGTCAGGGCTGGATACTCTGGGATAAGAGAGAAGTCTTGGATTTAGGAGGCTGCTATACCAGAGACTGGGCCGGCGTCTTCTCCTGCAGTAAACAGATTGTGTCCTCCAGATATACACCAAGCAGCCATAATTTTATGACAACTGACAGCTTAAGTGAATGCAGATGATGTGCTGGAAGCAGAAAAAATGTTCATCTCAGTTTGTTGTGTATAGAGCTGTGTGGCCCCAGACCGGTCAGGGTGCCCATGCTGACCCGTGTCCACAATCAAACAAGCCTAAAATGGGCACTTGAGCATCAGAATTGGACCAGGGAGCAATGGAAGAAGGTGACCTGGTCTGAGAAATGACGTTTTCTTTTCTATTATGGGAATGGCCGGATGTGTGCGTCACTTACCTGGGAAAGAGATAGCACCAGGATGCTGTATGGGAAGAAGGCAAGGCAGCTGGGAAACCTTGGGTCCTGCCATGCACGTGGATGTTACCTTGACATGTGCCACCTACCTAAACACTTTGATGAACAAGTACAACTGTTCATGGAAATGGTAGTGGCCTCTTTCAGCAGGATAATGCGCCCTGCCATACTGCAAAAATGGTTCAAAAATGGTTTGAGGAAAACAACAAAAAATTGGAGGGGTTGACTTGGCTTCTAAGTTCTCCAGATCTCAAAATAATGGAGCCTCTGTGGGATGTGCTGGAAAAACAATCGATCCATGGAGGCCCCACCTCACAACTTACAGGACCTAAAGGATCTTCTACCGACAGCATACCCTCAGAGGTTGGGTGGTGTTCTAACTTCAATGGGTCAAGGCTGTTTTGGTTGAAAAACAGGGACCTACTCAGTGTTAGGTGGGCGGTCATAAAGTGATGGCTGACCGGTGTACATTTCCAAAGATCCAGAGGTGTCTGACTGATTTTGGAAGGAGGCATCCAAAAATCGAGGGATCTCGTGAGTACAGACCTATGTGTAAGATACTGGTGACTGTGGCAGCTGCTACTCCTTTTTTTTTGCGACTAGTGCTTGCCTGGCCTGGGACATTGCTGATAGTGTCCCAATGCTGTCCATTTTTCCATGGCTATTGCTAGAAGGACTGTCCTAAGGAGTAGTGAAAAAGTGGAGGGTGTCCTGTGATTGCTGTTCTGCGTTCCTGGAGTATCTCACAGCTCCGTACGCCCAGCCCAAGATACTCAGCAATAAATGTGAAAAAGGCAACCCCTAGACTCTTTTTTGACCCAGAAGAATGGATGTTGCTGTGTGTCTGGCTGCCGTTGCCAACTTAGTTCAAGCAGAACTGCCAAGCATGTTTAGAGCTGGCACATAGCGGAGGTGAGAGGAGATTCGGGTTTAGGCCGTTACTATCAGAAGAATGGCTTTCTATAATGCTGATGTCTGTACAGGGAGGTGAGGGGGATGATGGGTCATTGGGGTAGAGGTGTCTGTGGGCTGACTGTAGATATCAGTCAGGCATGCAGTTCGTACAATCTGTCTCATGATGTCTTTGGACCAGGGTCTCCCCCATACAAGATGGGTTTGGTCACCCAATGCTCCTGTTTAGCCAATGGAGGAAGCAATGGGGAGCACATACAGGCAGTCCTGCTATTGGCCATTCTTGGTGCTAAATGAATGTTTTCTAACCTGTCTAATAACTTTGTCCCCCAAGAGCAGTCATTCGGGACTGTCAGGAACTGACCTTTAGACATTAAATTGTAGCCCAAGCCAGGTTTATTGGGAGATTGCCATGTAATGCCTATAGATGAACCTGACCTGGAAGTCTGCATCATACTCTATGTTGGTTTTCCAGATTGGTTCCCACCATAAAAACATCTCTCCAGTGTAATACAGAGATTCCTCTCCTCTGTGACCACCAAGAACTCCCAAGGTTGCCATTTCATTTATATTTCTGGTAGCCGCAGCCACCCAATAATATTTAACAATATGACTGATAAGGATAAGAGCAAGAAGGAATGGAAATTACCATGTTTTGGGATCCGCTGCAGCTTAATTGTGTTCCCTTTGGCATCGTTTGCTTTTTTTATCTCTGTAATTGCCTTGTATTTTATGCCGGCGATTTCAATATCCACAGAACCTTTTTCACTACAAGCCTTTTCCAGCTCCAGGTTTGTCATTTTGTCGAAGGGGATAAAGTTGGTGCCTTGGTAATATCCCCACTCCACCAAGTTGCCATACAGCTCCGCCTCTCGTTCTTGCGTCTTCTTATCTCGCACACCTTTAATCATCTCCTTGATTTTATTACTGACATCCAGGACATCCTTGGTGCGGCCTTTCACCTTGATGGTGGACTGTGGTAAGTCGAAAGAAATATAAACTCCGTTGTCCCGCTGAAGCTGAGCCAGGACGGCATGGTGCTTATCATCTAAGTCCTGTATCCAGGTATCTGTGATAGTATCGTCATGTTGATCCTTTGCTATGAGGTCTTGGAGCCTGTCTATGGCCTCGTTCACAGAGTCACGGCTTTCTGCACACAGGTGGAAAATGGCCGGCTCGATGTTTTCTCTCAGCTCAAAAACTTTGGGCTCTTCTTCTTCTACTTCTTCTTCTTTACTGTCATTGCTTTTGTCAGATTTGCCCGTACCAAAAATGGCCGCTATAAAAGAGGGTAAAGAATATCGGGATAAGACACAGAGAACTTACAGAATTTGTATACCATGTAGCAGTGTCAGGACAAGGTCATGCAGAGCCAAGGGTGAACAAAACGATCCCCTCCCCCCCCCCCTTCCCCCTTCCTAGCACAGCTCCCCTCCCCAAATGTCCGCTCCTAGAACAAATATCCCCCTCCTCCCATCATATCACCTTTTCTAGCACAAGGCCTCCCAAATCCCCCCCCCATCCTAGCACAAATTTTCCTCCATCATCCCCATCCCAGCACAAATCCCCCAAATCACCACTCCAAGTCCCCCAAAGTCCCCCCCCCCCCCCCCCCAGGGGCGGACTGACCATTTGGAAACTCGGGCACTGCCCGAGGGCCAGGGGTCAGTAGGGGGCCCCATGAGATGCCCCTGGTACCTTTTTCCATAGGCTTTTTTGAGTTTGGGCAAGGACCCCATGATCCCCTATTGCCCGGGGGCCCCATGAGTTGTCAGTTTGCCCCTGCTCCCCCCTGATCTCTGCGGTTCCCCCTCATCTCACATGATATCACAGTGCCCAGGGCATCTGCCCCTCCTGCCCACCTCTTGTCCAGGCCCTGCCATGTAGAAAGACATTTATACATAAAGAAAGACTTCCTGTCAATGGTGAAGGAAATGAGAGAAAATCTCTCAGTTTTATGTTTCTGTCTCCTAGCTAGAAGTCTGATTCCAGAACTTGTGTCCTATCAGGAGATCTTTATCCACAGAGGTGGACACGAGCAGCTCCCACTGGGGCAGCCTTATCCAAAGAACGTCACAGTAATTCGCCGTGTGAAATGATCCTAAAACTACGACGCGTACCTGTGATCCTAGAAAACCAGGACTGTTGTTTGGTTCCAGGTGGTGGTTCCTTCTTCTTCATACTGTTATAAAAATCTTTTAACATTTGTTGCTTGAATATCACCATCGTCACATGTTGGACGGTCGCGGCTGGTTTAGACATGACAAAATTCACCACGGCGTCTAGCATTGAGTCAGCCACTGCCGCAGAGGACACACCAGCGACACCTGGATAAAGAGAGGGTGAGAGAAGAGCAGAGAGTGACCAAGAGGACACAGTATGGAGGACATCCTCACCCTCCTCTCCATTGTTCCACAAACAAGTGGCTTCTACAGTCAGCTATCACATCCATAATCTTTGACGAGTAGTTTTTGAAATTTCCATTGTTCTAGTTTTGAGGTCATGTTCTTGATCTCAGCTTCATACTGAAAATACTGTCCTTCTGAACCTTTGTATATTTAGAGGTTTCAGTCATTTCCACACTCTCCTCTCTTTCCTCCACATTGGATGTATTAAGTTCCTGCAGTCTCCCCTGATATGTTTCACCATTTTTGCTGTCCGTCTCTGGACTCGAGTCTTTTACAAGTGACGCCTTCAGAACTGGACACAGTATCCTAGATCCTAACCAAGGATCTCATCAGTCCAGAGCACCTGCTTTCATTTTTCTGCACCCCAGTTCATTTGCCGTCATACATAGGACGTGACTAAAAAAAAGAACAAGACTAAGTGACTCCTCTAGGCAGGAAAACATAGTTACTGGGGTGAAGAAAAATGGCAGCAGGGGCTCCAGACTGATGGGTCAGAATGTGAAATATTTGGCTGTAGCAGGAGGCAGTTTGTTGGAGGAAGGGCTGGAGAGCGGTACAATAATGAGTGTCTGCAGCCAACTGTGAAACATGGTGGAAGTTCCCTACACGTTTGGGGCTGCATCTATGCAAATGGATTTGAAAATTTGGTCATGATCAACGGTGTCCTCAATGCTGAGAAAAACAGGCAGATACTTATTCATCATACTGTACCATCAGGGAGGGGATGTAATTGGCCCCAAATTTATTCTGCAGCAGGACAACCACCCCAAACATCCAGTCAATGTCATGAAGAGTTATCTTCAGCATAATGCAAAACAAGGAGTCCTGAAAGTGTGGAATTTTGGGGGGGGGGGGGGTACTACTAGCAGCCAGTATGTCCCATTCTGATGCACTGAGTGCTGGTTCTGACTGTAGTATAGGAGTGAGGATGTCAACAGGAGGAGCAAAACGAAAGCTGGTTAGAGACCGCCATCACCATCGGTGGGGATCCAAATGGACCGTTGATTCGATGTAAGCCTTAGTGTGTATAAGGGGCTTTATTTGCAAAGAAAACCAGATCTACATATTTCTTCTAAGCGGGGTTGGCACTATTTATTTTTGAAGCTGGCTCTGGCTGGGATGTAAGACTGAATATTCAGATTCTTTGGTAGTTTGTTTGCTTGAACTGATTGTATGGAACCATTTATTCGTTATCTTCTGTTTCCCGCCAACAGAAATCATGAACGCCTTTTCACACACAGGTTCTGCTGTGCACTAATGTGTCCAGACTGTGCAATAAAAACATTTCTCTTTTCCAAATTATTTGAAATACATTTCAGTGTATCGAATTAACCAAACCATTCTCTCGGAAAACTATAGCTGGAGATTATTATGGCGCCAACGGTTTGCTCAGCGCTTTACATTATAGTGGGAGACAATACAGTAACAATACAGTTCAATACAAGAGGGATTTGAGGGCCCTGATCCTGGGAGCTTACAATCTAGGAGGGAGGGGTGAATGGTACAGTAGGTAATACCTGTGGGGGATGGAGTGGTTGGAAGAGTAGAAGATTCCAGTATTAGCAGAGGGCGGGATAGGCTTCCCTGAAGAGATCGGTTTTCAGTGATCGCCTAAAAGTAAGTAGAGTAGGCGATAGTCTGATAGATTGGGGTAGGGAGTTCCAGAGGAGGAGTGACACCCTGGAGAAGTCTTGGAGACGAGCATGGGAGGATGGGATAAGGGAGCTAGAGAGTAGGAGGTCTTGCGAGGAGCGGAGAGTACGGTTTGGGTGATATTTAGAGACAAGATCGCTTATGTAAACTGGGGAAGTGTTGTGGACGGCTTTATATGTCATTGTTAGTGTTTTGAATTTTATCCATTGGGCAACTGGGAGCCAGTGGAGGGATTGGCAGAGAGAGGTGGAGGACACTATGGAGGCCAGTGGAGGGATTGGCAGAGGGGGGTGGAGGCCAGTGGAGGGATTGGCAGAGAGGGGTGGAGGACACTGAGTGAAGGCCAGTGGAGGGATTGGCAGAGAGGGGTGGAGGACACTGAATAGGGGCCAGTGGAGGGATTGGCAGAGAGGGGTGGCAGATGCAGAACGGTTAGTAAGGCGGATGAGTCTGGCAGCAGCGTTCATGATAGACTGGAGTGGAGATAGCCTGCGATGAGGAGGGAGTTACAATAGTCAAGGCGAGATATAACAAGGGAGTGAATGAGTTGCTTAGTGGTTTCCGGGGTTAGGAACAGATGTATCTTGGAGATGTTGCGGAGGTGATTTTGTCAGCGATTGGATCTGGAAGGACAGATGGGAGTCTAGGATGACACCTAGTACTCTGGCGTGAGGGGATGGACTGATGATTGTGTTATCAATATTTATGGTGAAGTCAGTGGAGGTGGCACTGGCTGGGGGGAATACTAGGAGCTCAGTTTTGGAAAGGTTGAGTTTGAGGGAGTGGAGATCAAATGTTTGAATGGAATTGGTGGCTATGGGAGATGGCAGACAGTTTGTATTTCAGACACAGATAACTCAGGATCCCTGAGAATCTCTCACCTGTCCCCATGGCCGGGAAGGCCACTGAGGTTGCTTGTTGTCTCTCACATATGTGCAGGGCTTCCGTTACACACTTCCCTATTAAATGCGATTTACTTTGGCCGGCAACATGGATTATATTGTTGCAATGGAGATTTCCTCCTTTTGTGACCACGTACCCGTTGTTAGGTTGGGTTCCTGAAAAAAAAAAAAGAAAAAAGGTAAATCTTTGAGCAAAGATGTAGGGCAGGGGTCTCCAAACTTTCTAATCAAATTGCCAGTTTACTGTACTCTAGACTTCGAGGGGACTGGACTGTAGCCAGTGGGAGTAGAAAAGGTCCAGATGTCAGTGGGAGTAAACCATGCCCCATCGTTGGTGTCAGAGGAAGAATAGCACCCCATCCTGGTGCATCCAGAGCATTCAACAGTCCAAGTTGGTAAGTGAAGGAACTTGTAAAGACCATCCACAATCCATGAATTGAATGCTTGTACAGTGTATAGAGAAACCACATCAGTTAATTCAAAGTAATGGGTATGTGCCAAAATGGACTCAATATAATATAAAGAGGTCACCCCAATATCAAAGAAAATCCCCTGAAAAAATTGAGTTCTAGTCTCAGGACCAGGATCTAAACCCATGACCTCTGCTGGCAGTAGCTTTTCTTTCTTTTTTTTTTTTTTTTTTTCCGCAAACGTGCAACTATAACGAAAAACCCGTAAGTGTTCACAAAAAATGTGCAAGTGCAAAACACCACACGAAAAAGTGCACTTAGGGGTGTGTTTGTCCTACCCCCGAAAGGGTTGGACCGTTCACCCGATCCCCCGGGGCACGGAGCTCCTGACAGGGACAAGGTTCCCATTTGGTCCTCCTGGCCAAAAGGCCTGGTGGACCACCGTTCCTTATGCCCAGCCGAAGCTGGACATCCAGTACTAGGCAAGGGGGTTCTCCCGAAGAGAAAACCCCCTAGGGATCAGGGGAGGAGGTCAATGAAAGGTGGTAAAAAGGAACCGTATGGCCACACATCCTCCCCCTAGACTTCAGGTAAGGCCCGAGGACCCACACCCTCCATCCGTGAAAAACACACACATAAGAACAGAAAAAGTGACAAAACGTGGGAGTGGTAAATAAATAGAAAATAAAAAAGTGGTACCGTGCTTAATAGTGCACAGACCAGGCCCTGAGGCCTGTAGCAAAAATTGCCCCGGACTTAGCCAAAAGACCTGGTCCTTAGGGCGCTGTGCAAAAAGAAGTGAAAAACAGTGGCCATGTGTCATCTTCACACCGTGGGGTCCCACACCCAAGTGTTACTAGTGACACCCCTGAGAGCGTCTTCCCCAGGGGGCACTGAGTTTGCGGACTTTTTGCGTCCCCAGGCCAGACCAAGGTAGATCCGTCCAAATCAGGAGGTACTGGGTCTTTCCAGTCTTCCCAGAGGAATTACTCCCAAGGCCCCAGAACGAATCATGGTGCTCCCTGGTTTCTGTCCCTCCGGTACTAGCCTTCCGGACCCCCATCATACCAGTGAGGGTACTATACAACAACCTTTCTGAGACACCTAAAATGCTGGACAGAACTCTGATCCTTCGGATGATCCTGCCTTGTGCCTTGCTTCTGGTGAACCTTGAATTCCTTGCTACTCTCATTAACTTCCTATTTAAGCCACGCCTTTGCACTTCTTGTTTGATAGATTATTGTGCTCTTCTCCGGACAATATCTTGTTCTTGCTTCTCCTGCTGCCATCCATATCTTCAATACTAACCATTTTTGACCTTGGTTTGTCCAATGACTGCACTACTGCTCGATCCCAACCCAGGGGCGTGTTTACCACGAGGCATTTGCCTAGGGCGGCCTTTTTCAGGGGGGCAGCACCGCCCCCTTGGAAGAAGGGATGGAAGGAGGGACACATGCAGCATGGGGACCAGGTGGGATCTGAGAGAGACTGCGGGCTGCTTGACTCTCATTCCTGGGGATGTCCAGAGCTGTGAAGGTGAGTGTCTCTCTCTCACCGGGAGGGGGCAGGAACGTTGTTGGTCAGTGTCAGGCTCTCTCCACGGGGACGGGGTGGTATTGGTTGCTGTCAGGCTCTCTCCGGGGGGGGGGGGGATGAATTTTGTGTTGCCTAGGGCAGCACAAAGCCTAAATACACCACTGTCCCAACCTACAACCACTCTTTATCAACCTTTGGCTTGTTCCTTTACTATACTCTTGCTTGATCTCAGTCTGCTACTGGACCTTGCTCACCTCCTGGTGAGGTGATCCTGAGGACCACAACCTGGTATAAACAAGCAGCAAAACCCATCTCCACCATCAGGAGCTCTGGAGAAGAGTTAGTGCTTGGACTCCACACCTTGAGTGAGCCCACATCATCCACCAGGGTGACCTGCTATGTACTTATCCAGCTGGTCGGTGAGAGCCACTTTATTGCTATAGCTACTGGTTTCTGAGCCTGAACCCAAACCATGACACATAGGTCAAAAATAAACCCAAGAAGAGTCCCGTGTGCGGCTGGTAATTACACTGCCCAAAGCAATGCATTTCATCACTATTTCTGGTGACTTTCTCAACCAGTGTGGAGACAAGAGATCTGCTGAGGAGCAAATATGTGCAAAATGGTACTAGAAAGGGGAGAATCAAGTCAGCAACATAAAACGTCTCTGCCAAAGATAAAAAGGTCCCATGTTCCTCAAACAGGAAATTAAATATGGCATCTGTGCTAAAAAAAATAAAAGGCAGACATAGGGCAAAGGACTAGTCACCAGTATTGCCTGTGGTCTCCCTACAGCTGATATTTTCCCCGTTACTTGCGTACAGTAGCTTGTTCTTCGTCTCTGTATAGAAATGGCCATTTTGGTAGAAGCAGGGCTTTGCTTCCTCATCTTAGCGCCTCCAGCAAAGAAAACAGTGAGTAGCACATTGACGTCATCATCAAATCTCCTAAAACTAGCAATCAGAGGCAGCTGTGCCTTAGATACTTTATACTGCAGATCTACACTCACCGGCCCCTTTATTAGGTCCACCTGTTCAATTGCTTGGTAACACAAATTGCTAATCAGCCAATCACATGGCAGCAACTCAATGCATTTAGGCATCTAGACGTGGTAAAGACGACTTGCTAAAGTTCAAACCGAGCATCAGAATGGGGAGAAAGGGGATTTAAGTGACTTTGAACATGGCATGGTTGTTGGTGCCAGACAAACTGATCTGAGTATTTCAAATCTGCTGATCTACTGGGATTTTCACACATAACCATCTCTAGGGTTTACAGAGAATGGTCTGAAAAAGAGAAAATATCCAGTGAGCGGAAGTTGTGTGGAGGAAAAGGCCTTGTTGATGTCAGAGGTCAGAGGAGAATGGACAGACTGGTTGGAGATGATAGAAAGGCAACAGTAACTCCAATAACCACTCGTTACAACCAAGGTATGCAGAAGACCATCTCTGAATGCACAACACATCCAACCTGGAAGCAGATGGGTTACAGTGGCAGAAGACCACCCCGGGTGTCACTTTTGTCAGCTAAGAACAGGAAGCGGAGGCTACAATTCGCACAGGATCACCAACATTGGACAATAGAAGATTGGAAGAACGTTGCCCGGTCTGATGAGTCTGGATTTCAGCTGCGACATTCAGATGGTAGAGTCAGAATTTGGCGCAAACAAAATGAAAGCATGGATCCATCCTGCCTTGTATCAACGGTTTAGGCTGGGTGGTGGGAGTGTCATGGTGTCAGGCTGGGGGGAGACTTCCTTGGCACTAACAAGGTGGACCTAATAAAGTGGCTGGAGTTTACAGCTATGAGGCTACAGAAGAGGAGTTCCTAGGCACATGGAGTGCCCTGCTAGTTTTCAGGAGGAATTCCAGACAAAAGGTGCATTTTCAGGAATTGTTCTTAAACGAAATTAATATTTCTGGTTGCTCCCTATACCTGACCAAATCTTTACTTTTTGAGTACAGGGAAGTAAATCATGTGAATGGCATCAGTGCCAGCAAAAGGATCTTTGACACCCAAGATGAGGATACCAAGGAGCCCCCTTTCCCTCCAGCTCTGGAGCTACGACAAATGGATATTTCACATCCACACAGACAGTGGCCAGGCTGGCACAATATCTACAATGACAGCCGCTGGGGGGGGGGTTCCACCATTGGCGTCAAGGACACACTGACAAGGTCAAATGGTGCTCTAAGGGTTGGGATGAAAGAAGTGAGACAGATCGCCCACTCTGAAGGTGCGTTTTCAGATCAATTGTAAAATGGATGGAACATGGATCAGGTCAGGTCTGGTGAGGATCAGGTCAGGTCATGTATCAGGTCCGGTGACCATACTATGCACCGAAGACATTGAGGAACAGTGTCCAGTTTTCAGTGTTAAGTTTAACTTTTATTACTATTAACATCTGACTTGAAGATAAAAATTCCCATTTCTTATTGAAATCATTACTTTCTTCTCTATTTAACTTATAGCCAAATTTCCTGGATTGTTCCCCTGTCAAGGGCAATATCAACAATTAACTATTAATTATTTACTAAAATATTAATATTTTATTTCATATATTATAGGTCACATGCTCTCTGTCTGTCCACATGCAAAAACAATTCTTCATAAAGTTTCTTACCGAGCCTGGCACATTCACTTTCTATATTAGGCCCCGCCCCTTCCAGGATGGCTTTGGAAACTCCTGCAACAACACAACATATCAGCTTCAAATTGCCAAAATGGGATTCAGTATTTGTTCAGAGAGTAGATCCAGCAAGATTCCTCCACAAGGTCAAAGGAAACAAAGCCATGAAATGCTGCGTGAGAAATATTTTATCTCTATGAAGTCATACAAACAACAAAACTTTATATATTGGATCAAAAGACATCTGCATTTGGAGAGGAACTAAAATTCTTTTCTTTTGGTTTTCACGCAATAGTGAAGATCTGGGAACCTATCATGGTTAATGTATTCCCTTCAAACATTACCCATCAGGTTTGCACTGTAAATGAAGTCCTATAGAAGAGTCTATTATTGGAGGTGGTTGATGTCAAATATATCCTCCCTCCTGTAAGATATATCAGATTTTACATTTTCCACCAGTTTGTCACACCTCCAGCGTGACTCTTCATAAGATAGAACATGGTCTGCTCCCGACCTTCCCTCTACCTTTCCTCACTCACCACCAGGATATCACATCTCCAACATGACATTCTTTAACAGAGCTGGGCAAATTGAAGACTCAGGACCATATCAGGCCCTTTGGATGTCCCTGTCTGGTCCACAATGCCTCCACTGTCAACATGGCTCTCAGAGCCTGTCTGCTTACTCCCGGAGAAAGAGCTGACAGATGTCTATGTGGAGAGCTGCAAGAACTCTTGAGGAGCTGAATGGTACCGCAGGGAGGCCCGGTTCTGGCTGGAAAGCATTTTCCAGGGCAGCCTTTCCCAACCTTTTCAACAAAGAGGAACCCTTAAAATAACTTTTCAGTCTCAAGGAACCCCTGCCAAACATGACTAAAGCTACAACTCATAATACATTAGTGGGATGGTCCGTGGAAAGAATGTCCCTTACATTGGGGGTCCGTGGAAAGAATGTCCCTTACATTGGTGGTCAGTGGGAAGAATGTCCCTTACATTGGTGGTCAGTGGGAAGAATGTCCCTTACATTGGTGGTTAGTGGGAAGAATGTCCCTTACATTGGGGGTCAGTGGGGAGAATGTCCCTTACATTGGGGTTCAGTGGGAAGAATGTCCCTAACATTGGTGGTCAGTGGGAAGAATGTCCCTTACATTGGTGGTCAGTGGGAAGAATGTCCCTTACATTGGGGGTCAGTGGGAAGAATGTCCCTTACATTGGGGGTCAGTGGGGAATGTCCCTTACATTGGGGGTCAGTGGGAAGAATGTCCCTTACATTGGGGGTCAGTGGGAAGAATGTCCTTTACATTGGGGGTCAGTGGGAAGAATGTTCCTTCCATTGGTGGTCAGTGGGAAGAATGTTCCTTACATTGGGGGTCAGTGGGAAGAATGTCCCTTACATTGGGGTCAGTGGGAAGAATGTTCCTTACATTGGGGGTCAGTAGAATGTCCCTTACATTGGGGGTCAGTGGGAAGAATGTTACATTGGGGGTCAGTGGGAAGAATGTCCCTTACATTGGGGGTCAGTGGGAAGAATGAATTGGGGATCAGTGGGAAGAATGTCCCTTACATTGGTATCAGTGGGGAATGTCCCTTACATTGGTGGTCAGTGGGAAGAATGTCCCTTACATTGGTGGGTGAGAAGAATTTCCCTTACATTGGGGGTCAGTGGGAAGAATGTCCCTTACATTGGTGATCAGTGAGAAGAATGTCCCTTACATTGGGGGTCAGTGGGAAGAATGTCCCTTACATTGGGGTCAGTGGGAAGAATGTCCCTTACATTGGTGGTCAGTGGGGAATGTCCCTTACATTGGTGATCAGTGGGAAGAATGTCCCTTACATTGGTGGTCAGTGGGGAAGAATGTCCCTTACATTGGGGGTCAGTGGGGAGAATGTCCCTTACATTGGTGGTCAGTGGGAAGAATGTCCCTTACATTGGTGATCAGTGGAAAGAATGTCCCTTACATTGGTGGTCAGTGGGAAGAATGTCCCTTACATTGGGGTCAGTGGGAAGAATGTCCCTTACATTGGGGGTCAGTGGGAAGAATGTCCCTTACATTGGTGGTCAGTGGGAAGAATGTCCCTTACATTGGGGGTCAGTGGGAAGAATGGTGGGAAGAATGTCCCTTACATTGGTGATCAGTGGGAAGAATGTCCCTTACATTGGGGGTCAGTGGGAAGAATGTCCCTTACATTGGGTGGTCAGTGGGAAGAAGTCCCTTACATTGTCCAGTGGGAAGAATGTCCCTTACATTGGTGGTCAGTGGGAAGAATGTCCCTTACATTGGGGGTCAGTGGGAAGAATGTCCCTTACATTGGGGGTCAGTGGGAAGAATGTCCCTTACATTGGTGGTCAGTGGAAGAATGTCCCTTACATTTGGGGTCAGTGGGAAGAATGTCCCTTACATTGGGGGTCAGTGGGAAGAATGTCCCTTACATTGGGGGTCAGTGGGAAGAATGTCCCTTACATTGGGGGTCAGTGGGAAGAATGTCCCTTACATTGGGGATCAGTGGGAGGAATGTCCTTACATTGGAGGTCAGTGGGAAGAATGTCTCTTACATTGATGGTCAGTGGGAAGAATTACCCCTTACAGATAGCTTAAAAGATCGATGGTGTCAGTGGGAATTTATCTGAGAGACACAGATTGCTCATTGCTCAAAGAACCCCTAACAGCCTCTGGAGGAACCCTAGTTGAGAAACCCTGGCCCAGGAGATAGCCTAAAGCTCCCCCACCACTCTGCTACCCGGCCAAGTTCTTTCTGTCTTAGTGCCTGCACATTGCAAACCCTGGGAGCTTCATACCTGTTCTCCAGTCCAGGTCAAGACCTACAGAAAACCCTGATGTAGCCATCTCAGGCTCTCTCCTACCAGTCACACATGGGCACTCAGAATGGCAGATCCATTAATTAACCCCTATGTTCCTGTCAGCTCGCTCACTACTTTTACCAGCCCATCCTGCACCAACATCTGTGACCAGCAGAGGACATTTCTTCACTACTGCTTCTAATTATGTTGAGTGTGCACACTGTTTCATTTTTCCTATTATTCCTAGTGCCAGGCATCGGTTTTCCCGATGTTTACGTACTTATGGGACTTCTCAGTCCACTGTTGGTCACCTAAGGCTGCTGGTTTAATCAAAATATTTTTTACTATACACTAATCTTTGGTTCGGTCCTCCATGACAGCCCCAGTATCTCATGTGGCCCCTCAGAAAGATGAACTGCTCATCACTGTTCTATAAGGTAAGAAACACCCAATGGCTCCATGGGTTGCCTTGCAGTCTCCACTCTACGTGGTCTTCTGTTGTTCTGGCCATCTCACACTTCTTAAAAAGATTTTCACATTTCATGGTCCCAGCAACATTCTAATGAATACCTGATTTGAGGTTGAACGTGCTATTGGTGGAGTTGACGATGACGTCACACTTTTCATGTGTTTATATCTCCAGTTTTCACCAGGTAGGTGAGTGATCCAATCCTCATTTCATAAACGTTCTGTGCCGGGCTTTTCACATTCCCGAAGAAAGCTGCAAAACAGATCACAATGGCAAGAGATAATCAAAGCCCCTGTTATTGTATTCCAGATCATCCCTATTCACTAAGAAGTCTATTTTTATGCTACTATATATTTAAAGATTTATATTAGATTTCGTAGCACCCTCCTAGGTAGGTTGCTATTATGTAGGCAAATTTAGTTCTTTTTGGCTCCTCTGTAATCATTGGAGAAGTTGTTCATTGCGTTTGGCTGTTCTGGATCTCACAGGCTACAGGTTTTATGCTCTAGAGGCATCTGGAACTTAGAGGGTTGAGCAAGGCAATTCTCAGCCTGAATATTTATTGTGCTCCAACCAATCCCTGGGGGAGGTGTGCCCAGAAGGTGGCTGGACGGGCATATAAATAGCCTTAGATTTAGAGCAAGGAGAGTCTTTCCCTGCTGGAGGGAATCCACCTATCTAAGGAGGGTTGGCTACCTCCATCTGCAGCAGCTATCCTGATTCCAGCTAGTATTCTTAGAGGTCCCAGCTGTGGCATGGGGGGAGGGGCTTACTCCTGAGGATCCCTTTTTGAAGCCAGTGAAGGGAACTGTCACCTGGGGACTTGGTCTGGAGAGCTCACAAAAAGTGCCTAGTGGAAGTTAGAAGGGGTCTGGCTGTCCTGTGGCATTGTGAACATTAGCCTCTCGCTCACTGAAGAGTGTTCTGTGGAAGTTAAGAGGGGTCTGACCCCCCTGTGGCACTGTGAGCATTAGCCTCCCACTCACTGAAGAATGTCTGGTGGAAGTTAGAAGGGGTCTAACCGCCCTTTGGCATTGTGAGCATTAACCTCTCCCTCACTGAAGAGTGTCCGGTGGAAGTTAGAAGGCGCCAGGCTGCCCTGTGGCATGGTGAGCATAAGCTTCTCCCTCAATGAAGAGTGACAGGTGGAAATTATAGGGGTCTGGCAGCCCTGTGGCATGGTGAGCATTAGCCTCCCCCTCCCTGAAGTGTGCCTGGTGGAATTTAGAAGGGGGCAGGCTACCCTGTCGTATGGTGAGCATTAACCTTCCCCTCACTGAAGAATGTCCTGTGGAAATTAGAAGGGTTTTGGCCAGCCTATGGCATTGTGAGCATTAGCCTCCCCTTCACTGAAGAGTGGCCGGTGGAAGTTAGAAGGGGTCTGGCCGCCCTGTGGAATGGTGAGCATTAACCTGTCCCTCACTGAAGAGTGCCTAGTGAATGTTAGAAGCGGTCTGGCTGCCCTGTGGCATTGTGAGCATTAGTTTCCCCTTCACTGAATAATGTCCGGTGGATACTGGAAGGAGGCATCCGGTGATCCTGTGCCATTGTGAGAACTGACCTGAGCTTGGGGTTCAGGTGACTGCCATTGTGCGTACTGACCTGAGCGCTCGGGGTTCAGGTGACTTTTGTACGTCTTGGTCTTGGGTGGAGAAGCCAGTAATATTCTTGACTGGGGTAGCTCCTACAAAGAGGCTCAGTTCCACCATCTGCCCTTTTTTCTACGTAGAGACAACTCAGGGAGACTTATAAAAGGGAAGTGTCCTCCTGCCAATCAGTGGATCTAGAGTTATCCCATATCACCCTACACCTCATTCAGGCTTTCCTGCGCCTGGCTGCCTCTGCACTCAAGCCTAGTACACACTATCAGTTTTTTTTTTCATTCCACCCCAGTGGGCTGAACGAAGAAAAAAAACAGAAAAGTTCGGGAGGAGCTGCACTAACTATTCAACGCTGGTACAGCCATCTCCCCGCTGAACTATTGTGTTCTAAAAGGGTACTGCCCCCCCCCCCCCATCCTTTGCCAGAACACACTGGTCTGCGCTCTCAGCCATTGGTTGAGAGCGCTGATCAGAAGTCGATTGGCAGACCTTTTCTGGTCATGTCCCTTCAAGAGAAGCCAGATGGACCTCTGTCAGACCGGCTACCATACACATGGGCCAAATGTTGGACAGTTTCTGCAGAACCAGCCAATACCGCCCATTGTTCGGCCCATGTGGTGCTTCATTTTAGGGGACGAATTGGTTACATTACAGCGGCTCCTGCAGGGGGAAGTGCAAAATTTGACTGACCCCCAAAAAGAGTTATCAGAATTTTTCTTAGGAATCTATTCGGTGCAATACAAAAATCGTACTGCTGATTTATATCGAAGCAATCTGCCTGGACACTGGAGCCCTGGACGTTTGGCCCCATTGGTGGCTTTCATCAATGAATAGTGATGGGCTGCATGTTTGCATCGAACATAATTTGACTCAAACATTAGCCATTCGTGTGTTTGGTACGGGCGTTTCAGCAGGCTGTTCGCCCACTGTGCCCCACAATGCACTGTGCCCTGACAGTGCATTGTGATTGGCCAAAGCTTTGAAAGCCGATTCTGCCCCCTTGTGACATCATCACCCTATTTAGGAACTGTCATCGTGGCACAGCTGTCAGATGGCGTCAAGGGTGGAGCAGATTTTTTTTTCTTTTTTCAGGTCGGTGGTTGGACGTTGACATTGGACCTACTTTGGGGGACATTTTTAAAATTTTTATTTTTAATAAAGGACTTGTCAGAGATGGTCTCCTGTCATTTAATACACTTTTTTGTGAACGTGTAGCGGAGGGATCAGGATTCCAGTTTCTGATAAGCCCCCCACCCGCAGACCCCCACAACCACAGCCCAGGGTTGTGCGGAAGAGGCCCTTGTCCTCATCGGTATGAGGACAAGGTGCTTTGTGGGGGGAGCCCCCCCTGTGCCCCAAAGCACCCCCTCCCTGTTGAGGGCATGTGGCCTGGTATGTTTCAGGAGGGGGGGGGGGTGCGCTTGCTCATCCCCCCCCCCCTTCCTGACCTGCCAGACTGCAATGCTTGGTTAAGGGTCTGGTATGGATCTTGGGGGGACCCCCATGCCATTTTTTACAAAACTTTGGATTGGGGGGTTCCCTTCAAAATCCATACCAGACACGAAGGGCTTGGTATGGATGGGAGGGGGGACCCCTATGCCATTGTTTACAAAATTTTGGAGTGGGGGGTTCGTTTCAAAATCCATACCAGACCCGAAGGGCTTGGTAAGGATGGGAGGGGGACCGCCATGCCATTGTTTACAAAATTTTGGAGTGGGGGGTTCGTTTCAAAATCCATACCAGACCCGAAGGGCTTGGTATGGATGGGAGGGGGGACCGCCATGCCATTGTTTACAAAATTTTGGAGTGGGGGGTTCCTTTCAAAATCCATACCAGACCAGAAGGGCTTGGTATGGATGGGAGGGGGGACCCTATGATTTTTTTTTTTTTTTTTTTTTTTTAATTGCCGGGCAATGCTGACAATTCTTTTTCCATGCAGCTGTCAGTGGGGAACCCCACTGACGGTGGAAACATGAATAAATCTCTCACTACTAAAATGCCGCATGACCAGGGGCAGACTGACCATTTGGAAACTCGGGCACTGCCCGAGGGTCTGGGGTCAGTACGGGGCCCCCTGAGATGCCCCTGGTACCTTTTTCATAGGCTTTTTTGAGTTTGGGCAAGGACACAGGGGCCCCATGATCCCCTATTGCCCGGGGGCCCCATGAGTTGTCAGTCCGCCCCTGCGCGTGACTTCATCATAGAACTGAGCCGGATTGTAGTCACTGAGCGGGATCTCATCCAATACTCGGATGCGCTAAGATACCGCTCAGCAAATTGTCCCCTCTGTTCGAATTTCACGGTCAAACTTTCGGTAGGTTCAACCACCAAACAGAGGGGGGTGTTCAGCCCATCACTTTCAATGAGATGCAATTGGGTTGATTTTCTAAAGGCAAATAGACCGAGCACTTTGCAAGTGCAGTTGCTCTGGAGCTTAGTAAATGAGGGGGAGCTCTGCTGGCTTCCATCATCCAATCCTGTGCAAGCAAAAGTGCTGTTTCTTTTACTTTCCTTGCGGGTGATTGGGCGTTCTTTGCAAAGTGAAGCTTCACCTCATTTTCTAAGCTCTGGAGCAACTTGCAGAGTGCACTGTCTATTTGCCTTTAGTAAATCACCCCCATAGTCTGCAGTGTACGGAGTCGATGATGTTCCTGTACATAGCACGAATAGAACTCACATTGGGGTTTGTCTTTCTTCTGTCCTCCAGTGTTGATCTTTTTCTCCAGCTCAGAGTTAAAAACCTGAAACCAACAACAGCGGATGATATTTATCATTCCAATGGAGAACCATAAAATCGCACAACGCTCTGTTACCACAAACGCATGACAACTCTCCGTCACCTCGATGGTTTCCAGGTCACTCGGGTGCAGCATGAAATCCACTTGTCTCAGGTACTGGGGCTGATTTCTGCTGCTGAACTCCAGAATTTCTTCATACATTGCGGCAGCCACAACGTGCTTGGGGAATCCCAGCATTCCCGTCCCGATGGCTGGGATTGTGATGGATCTTTGATGTGTGGATTCCGTGACGCTCAGACAGTCGCTCACAATTTTTCTCAGAATCTGTCAACCAGATAAGATCAGATGATAATAGAGGCGGGTGATGGTGCGAAAGACTTGTACAGACATGGATGTTGGATGGACAGAAGGTGGACAGTTGGACACAAGGATGGATGATGGGTGGACAGAAGGTGGACACATCTATGGATGGTGGATGGATGGATGATGGACAGAAGGTGGACAGTTGGACACATCGATGGATGGATGGTGGATGGATAGAAGACGGACAGTTGGACACCTGGATGGATGCTGGATGGATGGATGGTGGATGGACAGAAGGTGGACAGTTGAACACATGGATGGTGGATGGATGGATGGTGGATGGACAGAATTGGACAGTTGGACACATCGATGGATGGATGGATGGATGGATGGATGGTGGATGGACAGAAGGCAGACAGTTGGACACATGGATGGATAGTGGATGGACAGAAGGTGGACAGTTGGACACATGGATGGAAGGTGGATGGAAAGAAGGCGGACAGTGGGACACACGGGTGGATGGTGGATAGATGGTGGATGGATGGACAGAATGTGGACAGTTGGACACATGGATGGATGATGGATGGACAGAAGGTGGACAGTTGGGCACATAGATGGATGGTGGATGGATGGATGGTGGATGGACAGAAGGCGGACAGTTGGGCACATGGATGGATGGTGGATGGACAGAAGGTGGACAGTTGGACACATAGATGGATGGTGGATGGATGGTGGATGGACAGAAGGCGGACAGTTGGGCACATGGATGGATGGTGGATGGATGGACAAAATGTGGACAATTGGACACATGGATGGATGGTGGATGTATGGATGGTGGATGGACAGAAGGTGGACAGTTGGACACATGGATGGATGGTAGCTGGATGAATGGTAGATGAATGGTGAATGGACAGAAGGTGGACAGTTGGACGGATGGATGGATGGTGGATGGACCGAATGTGGACAGTTGGACACATGGATGGATGGTGAGTGGGATGGATGGTGGATGGACAGAAGGTGGACAGTTGTACACATGGATGGTGGAAGGATGGACAGAAGGCGGGCAGTTGGATACATACAAGGATGGATGGATGGTGGATGGACAGAAGGTGGACAGTTGGACACATGGATGAATGGTGGATGGACAGAAGGTGGACAGTTGGACACATGGATGGTGGATGGATGGTGGGTGGATGAATGGATGGATAGTGGATGGACAGAAGGTGGACAGTTGGACACATGGATGGATGGTGGATGGATTGGTGGATGGATGGGTGGTGGATGGACAGAATGTGGAAAGTTCGACACATGGATGGATGATGGGTGGGGTGGGTGGGTGGATGGATGGATGGTGGATGGACAGAAGGTGGACAGTTGGACACATGGGTGGATGATGGATGGGTGGTGGATGGATGATGGATGGACAGAAGGTGGACAGTTGGACACATGGATGGATGGTGGATGGATAGATGGTGGGTGGATGGTGGATGGACAGAAGGTGGACAGCTGGACACATGAATGGATGGTGGATGGACAGAATGTGCGCAGCTGGACACATGGATAGATGGTGGACAGTTGGACACCTGGATGGATGGTGGATGGATGGATGGACAGAAGGTGGATAGTTGGACACATGGATGGATGGTGGATAGATGGTGGATGGACAGAATGTGGACAGTTGGACACATGGATGGATGGTGGATGGAAAGAAGGTGGACAGTTGGACACATGGATAGTGGATGGGTGGATGGACAGAAGATGGACAGTTGGATACATGGATGGAGGATGGATGGAGAATGGATGGTGGATGGACAGAATTGGAAAGTTGGACACATCGATGGTTGATGAATGGTGGATGGACAGAAGGTGGACAGTTGAATGGATGGTGGATGGCTGGATGGTGGATAGATGGATGGTGGATGGACAGTATGTGGAAAGTTGGACACATGGATGGTGGGTGGATGGATGGTGGATGGATGGAAGGTGGACATTTGGACACATGGATGGATGGTGGACAGATTGATAGGTGGATGAATAGATGGTGGATGGATGGATGAATGGATGGTGGATGGATGGATGGATGGTGGACGGATGGTGGATGGATGGTGAATGAAATGGATGGATGGTGGACGGATGGATGGTGGACGGATGGATGGATGGGTGGTGAATGGATGGTGGACATACTGTAGGTGATTTACTAAAGGCACATAGACTGCACTCTGCAAGGAATACCCAATCACATGCAGGGAATGCTGCGATCTCAGCCTGCGTTGGAGCCAGGAATAGGCGACATGCGGCTGGGAAATCGCAGGAGTTCTGACAGATAACATTAGCAGCTGCTCTGCTCTATATTTAGCTCCCGGAATGTCACCCAATTTGGAGCCGAGAGAGAATCGCTGCGTCATAATCTCAGCTGTGGTTTGAGACGGAGGAGGGGCTGCCACTGCGACTCAGCAGCCTGAAGAGCGGGATAACAGCAGGTGGGGCCCCCGCTAAGGAAGCAGACAGGACCCGACACTGCGATCCCTGGAGCCCCCATTATCTGTTACCAACGTGGCTCTGACCCCCCCCCCCCCCCCCCTCCGCTTACATCAAACCACATTTTGAAATTGTGCAACTGACAGTGAAGTCGCACGATTTCAAAGTCAGATGACACGCCGATTTCATGCAAGACATCTGACACATGATGGTGGATGGATGGATGATGGATGGATGGACAGAGGGCGGGCAGTTGGACACATGGATGGTGTATGGATAGATGGATGGCTGATGGATGGATTGATGGATGGATGGTGGACAGTTTGATGGATGGATGTTGGATGGATGGATGAATAGATGGTGGACAGAAGGTGGATGGATGGTGGACAGATTGGTCGAAGTATGGTGGACGGATTGATTGATGGATGGATGGTGGACGGATGGATAGTGCAGGGATGGATGAACAGATGGTGGACAGAAGGTGGATGGATGGATGGTGGACATATTGATGGATGGATGGTGGACGGACGGATGAATGAATAGATGGTGGACGGAAGGTGGATGGTGGACAGATTGATGGATGGAGGGTGGATGGGTTGATGGATGGAGGGTGGACGATGGATGGATGGTGGACATACTGGGGGTGATTCAGTAAAGGCATATAGACTGCAATCTGCAAGGAATACCCAATCACAAGCAGGGAAAATAAACCCATCAGCTATACTTGGAGATCATATCCCCCCCCTTATGTATATACATACATACCCCCCTTATGAGATCATATCCCCCCTTATGTATTATACATGGAGATCATATCCCCCCTTATGTATTATACATGGAGATCATATCCCCCCTTATGTATTATACATGGAGATCATATCCCCCCTTATGTATTATACATGGAGATCATATCCCCCCTTATGTATTATACATGGAGATCATACCCCCCCTTATGTATTATACATGGAGATCATATCCCCCTTATGTATTATACATGGAGATCATATCCCCCCCTTATGTATTATACATAGAGATCATACCCCCCCCCCTTATGTATTATACATGGAGATCATATACCCCCCTTTATGTATTATTGGAGATATCCCCCCATAGTATTATACATGGAGATCATATCCCCCCCCTTATGTATTATACATGGAGATCATATCCCCCCTTATGTATTATACATGGAGATCATATCCCCCCTTATGTATTATACATGGAGATCATATCCCCCCCTTATGTATTATACATGGAGATCATATCCCCCTTATGTATTATACATGGAGATCATATCCCCCTTATGTATTATACATGGAGATCATATCCCCCCTTATGTATTATACATGGAGATCATATCCCCCTTATGTATTATACATGGAGATCATATCCCCCCCCTTATGTATTATTATACATCCCCCCTTAGATATCATACCCCCCTTATGTATTATACATGGAGATCATATCCCCCCTTATGTATTATACATGGAGATCATATCCCCCCTTATGTATTATACATGGAGATCATATCCCCCCTTATGTATTATACATGGAGATCATATCCCCCCTTATGTATTATATGGAGATCATATCCCCCCTTATGTATGTATTATATCCCCCCATGGATTATACATGGAGATCATATCCCCCCCTTATGTAATTATACATGTATTATACATGGAGATCATATCCCCCCTTATGTATTATACATGGAGATCATATCCCCCCTTATGTATTATACATGGAGATCATATCCCCCCTTATGTATTATACATGGAGATCATATCCCCCCCCCCCCTTATGTATTATACATGGAGATCATATCCCCCCTTATGTATTATACATGGAGATCATATCCCCCCTTATGTATTATACATGGAGATCATATCCCCCCTTATGTATTATACATGGAGATCATATCCCCCCTTATGTATTATACATGGAGATCATATCCCCCCTTATGTATTATACATGGAGATCATATCCCCCTTATGTATTATACATGGAGATCATATCCCCCCTTATGTATTATACATGGAGATCATATCCCCCCCTTATGTATTATACATGGAGATCATATCCCCCTTATGTATGTTTATACATGGAGATCATATCCCCCCTTATGTATTTATACATGGAGATCATATCCCCCCCTTATGTATTATACATGGAGATCATATCCCCCCTTATGTATTATACATGGAGATCATATCCCCCTTATGTATTATACATGGAGATCATATCCCCCTTATGTATTATACATGGAGGAGATCATATCCCCCTTATGTATGTATTATACATGGAGATCATATCCCCCCTTATGTATTATACATGGAGATCATACCCCCCTTATGTATTATACATGGAGATCATATCCCCCCCCTTATGTATTATACATGGAGATCATATCCCCCCTTATGTATTATACATGGAGATCATATCCCCCCTTATGTATTATACATGGAGATCATATCCCCCTTATGTATTATTATACATGGAGATCATATCCCCCCTTATGTATTATACATGGAGATCATATCCCCCCTTATGTATTATACATGGAGATCATATCCCCCCCTTATGTATTATACATGGAGATCTATCCCCCTTATGTATTATACATGGAGATCATATATCCCCCCTTATGTGTATTATACATGGAGATCATATCCCCCCCCTTATGTATTATACATGGAGATCATATCCCCCCTTATGTATTATACATGGAGATCATATCCCCCCTTATGTATTATACATGGAGATCATATCCCCCCTTATGTATTATACATGGAGATCATATCCCCCTTATGTATTATACATGGAGATCATATCCCCCCTTATGTATTATACATGGAGATCATATCCCCCCCTTATGTATTATACATGGAGATCATATCCCCCCTTATGTATTATACATGGAGATCATATCCCCCTTATGTATTATATCATGGAGATCATATCCCCCCTTATGTATTATACATGGAGATCATATCCCCCCTTATGTATTATACATGGAGATCATATCCCCCCTTATGTATTATACATGGAGATCATATCCCCCTTATGTATTATACATGGAGATCATATCCCCCCTTATGTATTATACATGGAGATCATATCCCCCCTTATGTATTATACATGGAGATCATATCCCCCCTTATGTATTATACATGGAGATCATATCCCCCCTTATGTATTATACATGGAGATCATATCCCCCCTTATGTATTATACATGGAGATCATATCCCCCCTTATGTATTATACATGGAGATCATATCCCCCCTTATGTATTATACATGGAGATCATATCCCCCCTTATGTATTATACATGGAGATCATATCCCCCCCTTATGTATTATACATGGAGATCATATCCCCCCTTATGTATTATACATGGAGATCATATCCCCCCTTATGTATTATACATGGAGATCATATCCCCCCCTTATGTATTATACATGGAGATCATATCCCCCCTTATGTATTATACATGGAGATCATATCCCCCCTTATGTATTATACATGGAGATCATATCCCCCCTTATGTATTATACATGGAGATCATATCCCCCCTTATGTATTATACATGGAGATCATATCATATCCCCCCTTATGTATTATACATGGAGATCATATCCCCCCTTATGTATTATACATGGAGATCATATCCCCCCTTATGTATTATACATGGAGATCATCATATCCCCCCTTATGTATTATACATGGAGATCATATCCCCCCTTATGTATTATACATGGAGATCATATCCCCCTTATGTATTATACATGGAGATCATATCCCCCCTTATGTATTATACATGGAGATCATACCCCCCCCTTATGTATTATACATGGAGATCATATCCCCCCTTATGTATTATACATGGAGATCATATCCCCCCTTATGTATTATACATGGAGATCATATCCCCCCTTATGTATTATACATGGAGATCATATCCCCCCTTATGTATTATACATGGAGATCATATCCCCCCCTTATGTATTATACATGGTGATCATATCCCCCCTTATGTATTATATACATGGAGATCATATCCCCCCTTATGTATTATACATGGAGATCATATCCCCCCTTATGTATTATACATGGAGATCATATCCCCCCTTATGTATTATACATGGAGATCATATCCCCCCCTTATGTATTATACATGGAGATCATATCCCCCCCCCTTATGTATTATACATGGAGATCATATCCCCCCTTATGTATTATTATACATGGAGATCATATCCCCCCTTATGTATTATACATGGAGATCATATCCCCCCCTTATGTATTATACATGGAGATCATATCCCCCCTTATGTATTATACATGGAGATCATATCCCCCCTTATGTATTATACATGGAGATCATATCCCCCCTTATGTATTATACATGGAGATCATATCCCCCCTTATGTATTATACATGGAGATCATATCCCCCCCTTATGTATTATACATGGAGACCATATCCCCCCCTTATGTATTATACATGGAGATCATATCCCCCCTTAATCTCCTCTTCTCAGTAGAGAATACATATCAGTTCCTCTAATCTTTCCTCATAGCTGATCTCCTTCATGCCTGTATCAGTTTGGTTGCACTTCTCTGTACTTCCTCCAGTTCCCCAATGTTCTTTCTGTGAATTGGAGCCCATGTATTATGAACTGCATATTCCAGATGAGGTCTTACTGATGATTTGTACCTGGGGGGGGGGGGAATATCTCTCTCTCTGGAGTCTATACCTCTCCTAATACAGGAGAGAATTTTGCTTTAGAACCCGCAGCTTGGCATTATTAACATGTTGGCGCCGGCCGAAAGCAAATGTGTTGCCTCCCGGATTCTGGTCCTAGACGCTGAGCAGCCCGCCTTTTGCGTTCTATTAAAAAACATATGTGCTGAGAGCGTCGCCCCTTTGCGCTCCGAGCACACACATTCGATACTCACGGAAAGGTCCTGATCTCCCCCAAAGGAACCCTAAAGGTTTGGGAGGCACCAGCACCAAGGGGTTAAGCTTGTGATCTCACCAGAACCCCAGATGATCCTTTTCCGAGCCATTGACCCCCCCAGATCCTTCTCCGCCATTGACCCCCTTATGATCCTTCTCCACCATTGACCCCCCCCAGATCCTTCTCCACCATTGACCCCCCCTTATCCTTCTCCCATTGACCCCCCTGATCCTTCTCCACCATTGACCCCCCAGATCCTTCTCCACCATGGATCCCCCCAGATCCTTCTCCCACCATTGATCCCCCCAGATCCTTCTCCACCATTGATCCTTTCCAGATCCTTCTCCACCATTGACCCCCCCAGATCCTTCTCCACCATGGATCCCCCCCAGATCCTTCTCCACCATTGATCCCCCCAGATCCTTCTCCACCATTGATCCTTTCCAGATCCTTCTCCACCATTGACCCCCCCAGATCCTTCTCCATCATTGATTCCCCCAGATCCTTCTCCACCATTGACCCCCCCAGATCCTTCTCCACCATTGACCCCCCCAGATCCTTCTCCACCATTGATCCCTCCAGATCCTTCTCCTCCATTGATCCCTCCAGATCCTTCTCCACCATTGACCCCCCCAGATCCTTCTCCACCATTGACCCCCCCCCTGTTGTACCCCCCTAGTATATATGATGCATGCATATTCTTAGCCCCCAAGTGCAGAACCTTACATTTATCAACATTAAACCTCATTGGCCCCATAGCCCCCCAATTACACAGAACATTGAGGTCAGCTTGTAAGTTGGAGACATCCTGTAAGGACGTTATTCCCTGGCACAGCTTGGTGTCATCTGCAAAGACTGAGGTCCCCGACCCCAAATCATATATAGATTACAAAGTAAGGGTCCCAACACTGATGTTTGCCAAGCAGTAAAACTAGCCCAGTCAAAAGGATTGTCACGCATTCTATTGGCTGAGAGGAATTATCTCAATTCCATTTCCATACCTTCTCAGAGGAATCGTAACCTCGATCCCATTCTGGAACCACAGCATGGATAACAGAGTCACAGGACAGATTACAGCCATCGGTAACAAATATGGAGCCATATTCCACCTGCCTCCCCTGTCTCTGTGTCATCAGAAGATCCTGGAGGTTGCTTCCGGCCTTCCTGAGCAGAGCCTTGGACACAGCTCCAGAACGAAGACTTAGGTCTGTCCCCACACTGTTCACCACCACATTGGTCTAGAGAGAGAAGACAGATCGTTACTGACAAATCCATCGATTGAAGACGTTCCTCAGTTACCGTCATGTAAAATGGTCGGTAAACTTCATGGAAATTGTTGACTTTTCCATTATATTTGAAAGGGAAATTAGCTCTTCATTCAAACAGTTCCTACAAAGGTGTTATACCTGAACAAATGAAACAACGGGCATGGAATATTCATATCCTCTAAATGTGTGTAGGGATCTGCTGCCCTCTACTGTCTGTATCTGTACGTAGCTGTGCTTCTTACTGTCATATTGTTGTTTATGTACACCACTTCCTGTCCCTGCTAGCTGGGTCAGAAACCCCAGATTGGAGGACTTTGATATCTTTTTAACCTCCATGTTGGTCTAACTAATCAATATTTTTGAATGTCAAAGAAGTACATTGTTTTGCATGGAAATTTGTTATTTTATATTGTAGGCCTGTCCAGGGGCGGACTGACCATTTGTAAACTCGGGCACTGCCCGAGGGCCCGGGGTCAGTAGGGGGCCCCATGAGATGCCCCTGGTACCTTTTTCATAGGCTTTTTTGAGTTTGGGCAAGGACACAGGGGCCCCATGATCCCCTATTGCCCGGGGGCCCCATAAGTTGTCAGTCCGCCCCTGGGCCTGTCATTCTTAGGAATAACTCACTTAAATCTGTACAAACAAGAGTCTAGAACACATCCCAGGTAAATAATCATAAAAAATAATATAATAATAATACATTTAATTCAATAATGTAAACAAACCAAAAACACTGAAATTTGAAAAAAAAAAAACACAAATTTGCACATCGCTGAGCTCAGTCGCAGAATCGTTTTCAGTGTCTGATGACAAATTTTCCCACAAATCGCTATCGCTCGATTCTGCAAGTGGTTCTAATTCACTATCACTGTTCTCTAGCCGGTCTAAAACTTCTTTTGACCTAAAGGGACGCTTTTTGGATGCCATGAACGTTTCTCAGTTTCCAGGCAGAAAGAACAGTAAAAGTGCCGGCAGGGCGCAGGACGCAGCACTCGGGACAAAACTGAGGGAAATGGTTTGATACAGTAATGGAATCCTAACAGATTACAATGTATTGAGTGTATGTCAAATTTTTACTTTTTTGAAGCTCCCGCCGGTTCCGCCCTCCGAATATCCCGACGCTCGCAGGGAACGGAACCTGGAAGATGGATGCCGGCATCGGCTGGCGGACATGGCAGGAAGACACAGAGGGAGGACCTCGCGGGATCGCAGGACAAGGTAATGCTTGAGGGACCGCTGCAGTGTAATCCTGAGTGTGGCTCGAGGTTACCGCTTTTGGTACTGAAATTAACCCTGAGCCACACTTGGGATTACCGCCAGGAAGGTTAAAGGGGTTTTTTTCTAGGAAGTAGACTGAGAGAAAACTGAGTCACGCATCCTGTCCATGGAGTTGCTGCTGTTGTATTTTCACTGAGACCAGAAGAAATTAGAGTAAGTCCCCGAATTTATGAACATTCGAGTTGCGAACATTCACAGATACGAACGGACTTCGCATTACGAACATTCGTAGATGTGAACAAATCTCAGAAGTAGCTCACGTGTCTACTGGACATTGTCACAGTTATGCTGCTGTGTGCTTACTGTACGATGCCATAGTGTACAGTACCGAGCCCAGGATGTCCGGAGGCAAAAGGAAAAGCAGTGGTGATGTGGAGGGGACTGCTAGGAAGCACAAAGCAATAACCATGGAAACAAAATTTAAAATAATTGAGAAATTGGAGAGAAGATGGAAGACAGTTCTAAAGAACAAGGCCAAGATCATGGAACATGTGAAGTCTGCTGTGCCTATGAAGCCAACAGTAATATCCAAAAAGAGTGGTAAAGTAATAGAGGAGATGGAGAAACTTCTCAGGTGTGGATGCAGGATCAGCGTCAGCATCGAGTCCCACTCAGCTTGATGCTTCTTCAAGAAAAAGATAAAGCCAGTTTGAAGACTTGAAGAAAAACCAGGGTGAACAGTGTGCATCTTTTACTGCCAGCCATGGATGGTTTCATAAATTCAAGGCTAGAGCCGGCCTTCACATCGGCAAAGTAAGTGGTGAGGCTGTGAGTGCAGATACCATAGCTGCCCAAGAATTTCCAGAAACACTTAGAGAAATTATTGACGAAGGTGTTTATTTACCCCAACGTCAATGAGATAGGACTGTACTGGAAGAGGATGCCAGAACAAAGTTACATCAGTAAAAAGGAAAAGGTGATGCCAGGCTTCAAAGAGGCAAAGGGCATATGCTTCCGGCGATATGAAACTAAAGCCTCTCTTAGCTTACCATTCAGAGAACCCAAGAGCCCTCAAACACATAGCCAAGGGCTCTGTACCTGTTGTGTGGAAGAGTAACTCCAAAGCCTGGGTTATACAGGCCATTTTCCAGGACTGGTTTTTCCACCACTTTATCCCAGAGATACAGAAATATTGTTTGGAGAAAGATAGCCCATTCAACATACTATTGCTGCTTGCCAATGCACCAGGTCACCTCAAATTCATGGATGACTTTCATCCCAACGTCAAAGTAGTGCATCTTCCACTGAATACTACGGTGCTCATCCAACCTATGGACCAAGGAGTTATTGTGACTTTCAAGAAATGTTATTTATGTCACACTTTTTGTCAAGCAGTAAAGGCTATTGATGAAACAAGAACAACCTTGCAACAATTTTGGAAGGACTATAACATCTACGAGGTCATAAAGAACATCAACTTTGCTTGGTGTGAGGTTTCAGCTGTCACCATGAATGGGATTTAGAAGAACCTTTAGCTGCAGTTTGTTCATGAAGTTCATGGACTTGAAAAGATGGGTAAGGAGTCCAAAGAGGTCTTCAACAACTTAGTGACCCTTAGCACGAAGCTGGAGCTAGATCTGAAGAGGATGACTTCATTTAACTCCTTGCTGTGCAACAAGAGGAGCTTACTAATGAGGACCTGATGGAATTAGAGGCCAAACAAAAAGATGGAGAGCCATGAGGAAGATGTAACTGAAAAACCAAAGAGATTTACAACACAGGAAATGGCAAGGGGATTTTCTTTACTTGAAGAGGCACTGTTAGTTATGGAGGCACAGGACCCCAATGTAGAATAATAATAGGTTACAGCAGCCGTTCAGAATGCCATCCAGTGCTACAGAGTCATCTATGATGAGAAAAAACAGCGAGAAAACAGCCTGAACAAGTGGGGCTTGTCCATACAATCCCCAAGCAAAAATTACACCGGTCACCCTTCCAAGAGGTCTCTGATTGGGGCTCACAAGAAGCTGTAAAAGGTCACAGTAATGGTGGAACTCCTCAAAGACTCCAGGGCACACCAGGGGAGTGGCTGGTTGCTTGCACCTTATCCAAGGTCCACAAAGGACAGGTGCTGGTGCAGCTTATCAACCTGGGGGCTTCTCCAATTTCTCTTCCTAATCATGCCACCATAGCAGACCTCTATGTGGTACCACGTCACTGTATCTCGGAGGCCAACCAGAGGTTGAAGCTGTTTGCGCCTCAATACAGACAGCCATAGCCCAGTTAGACAAGTCATAATACAAACTACAGCTGGAACAGCTAGCCATCCCTGTCCAGGACTATCCTCTACCTCAGCAGCAGCTGCTTCACCAACTTCTAGAGAAACACCTATTGGTCTTTGGCACCACCCTGAAAGACTACGGTTGACCAGAGGCCATCGACCACCCAATTCAAACAGTGGATGCTACACCCATCCGGTAGTGGTACCTCCACATTCCCCCAGCCTTGTGTCAGAAGGTCAAGGACATGAGTGTGGTCATTCGGAAAAGCTGTAGTCCATGGGCTGACCTTGGGGTCCTGGTGCAAAAGAAGGACAGAGGTCTGCGATTTTGTGTGGACTACCACAAACTAAATGCCTGTACCATGGAGGAGTGGCTCATGGCACTTGGCCAAGCCAACTATTTCTCCAACCTTGACTTGGCAAGTACCAATGAGACACCAAGACCATGAAAAGACTGCCTTTATCACACCCCTGGGACTGAGCAAGTTTCTTAGCATGCCCTTCAGACTGAGTAATGTCCCCAGTACTTTCCAGCGCTTAACGGAGACTGTGTTAGTCTACTTGGACAATATAATATGCCGGTGGACTTCCTACTGGACTCTCCACAGAGTTTGCTGCCCCGTATGCCCAGCACCTGGATGCAGAACCACTGCGATCAGATACCAGGTGGTACTGGATAGACATGAGGACTTGGCCGAAGCCTCTCCCCTAGGAGAACTGCAGTTGCAACAGGGCAATTTGGTGTTGGTAAAGAATAGCAAAAGCGAAAGAGGAAGTAAATTGGTTCCCGAATGGGAATGCACCCCCTATCAGGTGGAGAAGCAGCCCTTTCCTCCAACTCCAGTTTATGACGTGTTCTTAGAGGGTCCCAACCCCATCAAGAACAGGCTCCACAGAAACCTGCTGAGACCTTGTGTGCTTAGTGGCAATTGCTCTTCCAAACCTGCTGGAGATGCGGTCCGTGCCCAAGTAGAGAGGCTCCGAGGAAGGATGGCATGTCCTTGCACTTTCCTTACTTGTCTGGAACCTCTCCCTGACACTAAGCACTGTCCCTGACAGATGGGTAACTTGTCCCTACTCTTGCCACATGCAAAATTGAGTGGCTATTAAATGGCAACAGCATTTCAAACAACAAAATCAGAGACTTCCACTGCGATCCCAAAGGTTTGGCACATACTGTACATACTTACATTGGTCCAAGCTGGTGCAGTGTAACTACTATATATAAAAATTGCCATACCTGGAATTCAACTTTAATTTTCTAAGTTCCATAATCTTTTACTGGACTTAATTCGGTGTTGCCCTAAGCAGACATAATGGGGTTTATTTACTAAAGCTGGAGAGTCCAAAATCAGACTCCCTTCTGCATAGAAACCAATCAGCTTCCAGGTTTCATTGCCAAAGCTTCATTGAACAGGCTGAGGTTAGAAGCTGATTGGTTTCTATGCAGAAGGGAGTCTGATTTTGGACTCTCCAGCTTTAGTAAATAAACCCCAATGTGCCCCCCTTGAAGATTCACTCCCAATTCAGCCCACTGTGTCATCTGGTCTACTGCCTATATATACGGCCATCCATTTGATTATTTCTTTACTTTGTATATTTAATATGATGAGGAAACTCAAAATGATTAGAACTTACCGTTGCATTTTCAATATTTCCATGTTTTATATTGATGTTCAACCCTTCCTTGGTGGTCACCATTTGATCTTTGCCTTTGTTCATTGTTTCCCCTTCCTTAGGAATTGTCCTCTTCTGCTTTTTCATGCCACGTTTGGAAGAAACCTGGACCTGTTTTTCCTCAAACTCTTCATTTACAAATTCAGTGATAGTCTTTAGAATGTCTTCATCACTGTCCAGGAGATGGATGTTTTTGATGGTGCTGTCTCCTTCTTGGCTTTCTGTGTATGATTTTATGGATTTTACAATGTTATGGGCGCACAGGTCCCAGGGACACCCAGAAATAATGAAATCACCAACAGAAAGTGCAACAGAGCTTTGACCATTCTCTGCAGCCATCACCAAGCTCTCGGTTATCACTTTCCGTAGAAGACGCTCACATTTTGTATTTCCTTTTTTATCCAATTTGGGTGCAATTGCATGAATTACCTTCTTACATGATAAATTGCTCACATCTGTTATGACACACTCTCCCGGCTCCAGCTCCCCTTTCTTCTGAACAATGCGTTCACATACTTTCTGACAACTGGGTCCTGCTGCTTTCACCAAAGCCAGCGCTGGTCCCCCAGTTGGCTTTAAATTCTTATTTGAGGCAATTATGATGACATCAGCATTGTGTTGGCACAGATCACCTTTATATATAACCATTGTGGCTCCATTCTGGCTGACTTGGCAATGGAGCTCATTTCTATTGGAAATTCTGTCATCGACCTCCTTCTGTAGTTGTATCACACATTTGTGATTGTTCCATACTGTAGTAACATACATATTTTCATCTTCAATAAAGAATTTTTTGACCCCGGGCTTATCAATGTATAAAGTGTCAGAATACATTTTGGAAATCATTTTTATTATGTTGGTTTCTGCCTCCTCTACATAGAACTTTGGGCCAGACAAGGAGATGAAGTTCTGTTTCTTCACAACCTTCACATTCCGTAATATTTCATTCCATTCCTGCGTTCTTTTTTCCTCCATAAACCGCAACACCGCCACTGACCTCAGTTTGATGTCCTTCTCCACCAAAGTGTTCTTCTCCACAAAGTCATGGATCTGCTGGTAGGTTTCTTCTGCAGGTGAGGATAGACCAGTGATCACCACCTCAGTTCCATCCCTCACAGGGAACTCCTCTATGGAAACCTTCATCCCATCAATTTTAATCTTCTCCATTAGGAAGCTCTTCAGATTTCCCCACTCCGGACTCTGAGTGACACTTTTATCCTCAACAGAAATTTGCTTACAGACCAATTCCTTCTTCATGGTTTCTTCACCATTTCTCAGATCGTTATCGGAGTAACCAGTTAACATGACTGCATTATCTTTCACCTGAAAAGCTGCTTTTATGTTGTTTTTCATAAGAAGACTACATGACAATTCTTCATTGTCCACTGCCTTCAGAAACTTGATGATGTGTGGATCGAGGTGAACAGATTTGAATTTCAAGCTTTGTCTAGTATTGAGAATTTCACATTTGGCAGTGGAAACTTCATCTTTTGGCCCATAAAGTTTGACTGCCTTAGAAATTCCGTCGTAGCTAATTTTCACATGTGGAGAATCTTCCAGGATGCTTTTCTCCAAACCGTGCGCCAGCATTAATTTATAAGCTTCGGGCTCAAGAGGCACATTCTCTTCCACTCTGCTCAGTTGTCTAGTGGTTTCTTCTACCAGTTTTCTGAATATTGGCTCAATCTTCATGACGTCTTCTGAAAGACCCACAATGAAAGCCTTTTCTGCAGCTAAGTCTGGTTTTATGAGGACTCCATCATATGATGAGCTAGACATCTTTTCTTTGATGATTTCCCACACTGGTGGCTTCAGGTCACACTCTGTGACTTTATACTTTGAAATAAAAGCTTTAAACTTTTTGTGGATGTTATCACTCCATGTTGGAACTATCTTTGCCAAGGTATGGAGATGACTGGAGAGAGTGCTGGGCAAAGTCAGTTTGATGACAGGAGTGGGGTGGTCTACATTTGGCCAAGTGATTTCACAGTAAATATCTGCCATTGCTTTTTCAACATTTAGTTTTTATCTGTTCATTCTTCAAAATGAATGCCAGTATATGTGGACTGATGGGGATTTTTACTGAATCAGGTATTTCCATATGAGGGCCTTCCTTCCCATACAAGCAATGACCAATGGATGGGTAATATGGGTACAGGGATATTGGATTATTATTTAGCATGTGCCGCTTTGTCATCACCGTCTTTAGAACTGCAATAAATTGAAATATGGTGCTTGTTAGATAAAAGGTATGGGAGGGAGCAATAAGCAGGGATACATCAGAATTAGTGTTAGTTGTCATGTCAAAAAAAAAATAATAATTCATGCCCTATAACAGAGGTCTCTAAACTGGCCCCTGGGCCAGATGTGGCCCTTTGCTTGCCTTTTTCTAGCCCTTGGAGCACTCTTCCTTCCATTGATATGAGCTACTATTCTTCCCACTGACACCAATGATGGTACACTATTCCTCCCACTGACCACCAATGATAGGACACTCTTCTTTCCACTGACACCACTTATGGGACACTAATCCTTCCACCCACACCAAAGATGGGGAACTAACTCTCCCAAATGACACTGATTATGGAACACTATTTCTCCCATGGACACCAATGATTTGACACTATTCCTTCCATTGATACCAATAATGGGACACTATTCCTCCCACTGACACCAATGATGGGGCACTCTTCCTCCCACGGACACCAATGATTTGACACTATTCCTTCCATTGATACCAATAATGGGACACTATTCCTCCCACTGACACCAATGATGGGGCACTCTTCCTCCCACTAATACCAATGATGGGGCACTATTCCTCCTACTGATAGCAACAAGGGGAACTATTCCTCGCCTTGACACCAGTGATGGGACACTATTCCTCCCACTGACACCAATGATGGGGGATTATTCCTACCACTGACACCAATGATGGGGGACTATTCCTCCCACTGACACCAATGATGGGGCACAATTCCTTCCATTGATACCAATAATGGGACACTATTTCTCCCACTGACACCAATGATGGGGCACTCTTCCTCCCACTAATACCAATGATGGGGCACTATTCCTCCTACTGATAGCAACAAGGGGAACTATTCCTCCCCTTGACACCAGTGATGGGACACTATTCCTCCCACTGACACCAATGATGGGGGATTATTCCTACCACTGACACCAATGATGGGGGACTATTCCTCCCACTGACACCAATGATGGGGCACTATTAATCCAACTGACCACCAAGTCTATGGCATTTTTACTCCCACTGGCCACAGTCTGACCCCCAAAAGTTTGAAGGGCCATAAACTGGCCCATTGTTTTGAAAGTCTGGAGACCCCTTGTTCTATAGAATCCTTTTTGTGGTAAACAACCAGCTACAAATAAAAAAGGTGGTATTGTATTGATTATGCTTTTAGTAATATTTTGGAATGGTAATATAAAGTCTAAAACAATTAAGTCTATCTGGGCTTACCATGGCAGCTCTGGAAGGTTAGGTTACTATAGATTTAGGTGTCCAGTGATGTCCTGGAGAAGTTAAGAGAAACATATATGCAGTGCCCCTCCTGGCCCGGGGGGCCGGGAAAACTTGCCTCCAACTCAGGAAGAGGGCTAGCATTTCCTAAGGGTGGATCCATGGCCACAGTGGAGACAGTCACAACAATGATGGGCACCAGTCACTTTAGTCTTTTTCAAGTTTTATTGCTCCAACTCAAAGGGAGAGACGAATAGGGTATAGGTCTTCTTTGTCAACAGGGCTCCCAACTCCCCTCAGACTTCTCCATCCAATGGAGTGCTAGATTCAGAGAGCAGACACCAATCCCCCTCCAGTGAGACTTCCATCCTCTAGCTCTCCACCTTGGGTGTTGTACCCTTCTCGACTAAGCAGAGCAGCTTGAGGGTTCTGAGCTAGGTCTCAACTAGGCTCTTGCCTACTTAGCACACATCACTGCACACCCCAAAAGAGCTCACCAGGCCACTTTCCAAATTATTAACTCCTCCCCTCAGCATGCACCACTGGCCGTGTAAACCTCCATGTGGTTGCCAGAGAGAACAAAAATGCTCATTAGCCCAAGCTTGTTACTGCCCCTATGACTATTGCCCTGAGTGCCAGTCACCCAATGGCAGCAGCAGAAAACATCTGCAATTCCAAACCTAAAGACGAGAAACCTAAATACTCTTGAGGATTCATAATCCATTGGCAGATTGTATTTCTCTGGATAGGACTCTGCAGTCCTCACTGCCATTGGTTGATTTCTTGCACAGGGTGACAATATACATTTTCAGGTCTACCCCCTCCTACCCCAGACATAACCATCCACCACCCCCAGTACCTTTATCCTCTATCCCTCTCACCTCCTTCCTCCTGAAATGTGACCAATGCGGCTCTTTCATCTAATAACATCTCCAAATCTTCTACACTCCCTCCTCCGTTCTTGGCGCTCTCGAAGTAAAGTGTGACCATGTCCTCCGGGGTATTGGAGGGGATCCTCTCCACTCGGATGCTTCTGATTTCTTCCAAACGCCTTGCTTTTAGTTTATGCTGTTTTACTCTTCGGCTGCCGGAGAATTTTCCAATGAAATCTGCAATATCTGTGAATAGAGACATCACATCCCAGTGAATACGTAGATACATACCATCGTCTGCTTCCTAGCCCAAGCAATCTGGCTCTGCTGGCATTTACTGAAAGAGTATGTCACCATTAGTTACATTTATGTGATAATTCTCGCTAGCATTCTCTAGAATTATTTATTTGTATCTCTTGTTACAACATACATTTTAAATGTTTGCTCTGTTTTGCCATCCAGCCTAAAAGGTGATATCCGAAGCCTTGGAGAGGTCCCATTGCTGGACCAGATGAACATCATAAAATGGATAAAAGCCATCACCCTCCCATCTTTACTTACAGCGAAGGAAATGTGTATTTGCTCCCCTGCTGATTTTGAATGTTTGCCCCTCACACAGAAATGATCGGTCTAACAATGGAATGTTCACCCCTCACACAGAAATGATCGGTCTAACAATGGAATGTTCGGTGTAACACTGAGAGACAGAATACAACAACAAATTCAGCAGAAATGCGTCTAACAAATGATGACTGATCTGCATGTTCATGAGGGAAAGAAGGATTTGATCCCCTATCATTCAGCAGGATTTCTGGCTACCAGGTGTCTTTCATACAGGTAACAAGCTGAGATTAGAAGCAGTCTCTTAAAGGGAGTGCTGCTAATCTTATTTTGTTACCTGTATAAAAGACACCTGTCCACAGGAGCCATAAAACCATCAGATTCCAAACTCTCCACCATGGCAAAGACCAAAGAGCTGTCCAAGGATGTCAGGGACAAGATGGTAGACCTACACAAGGCTGGACTGGGCTACCAAACTATGGCCAAGCAGCTTGGTGAGAAGGTGACAACAGTTGGTGCAATCATTCACAAATGGAAGAAACACAAAACAAGTGTCAGTCTCTCCTAGGTCTGGTGCACCATGCAAGATCTCACCTCGTGGAGTGTCAATGATCATGAGAACAGTGAGGAATCATCCCAGAACTACACGTGAGGATCTTGTCAATGATCTCCAGGCAGCTGGGACCGCAGTCACCAAAAAAACAATTGGTAACACACTACGCCGACAAGGACTGAAATCCTGCAGTGCCCACAAGGTCCCTCTGCTCAAGAAAGCACATGTCCAGGCCTTTCTGAAGTTTGCCACTGAACATCTGAATGATGCAGAGGAGGACTGGTGGGAAGTGTTGTGGTCAGAGGAGACCAAAATCCAGCTCTTTTGGCATCAACTCAGCTCACCGTGTTTGGAGGAGGAGGAATGCTGCCTATGACCCCAAGAAACACCATCCCAACTGTCAAACATGGGTGGTGGAAACATTCTGCTTTGAGGGTGTTTTTCTGCTAAGGGGACAGGACAACTGCACCGCATCAAAGGGACGATGGACGGGGCAATGTACCATCAAGTCTTGGGTAAGAACCTTCTTCCCTCAGCCAGGGCATTGAAAATGGGTGGTGGATGGGTGTTCCAGCATGACAATGACCCAAAACACATGGCCAAGGCAACAAAGGAGCGGCTCAAGAAGAAGCACATTAAGGTCCTGGAGTGGCCTAGCCAGTCTCCAGACCTTAACCTGATTGAAAATTTGTGGAGGGAGCTTAAAGTTCGAGTTGCCAAATGTCCGCCACCAAACCTTAATGACTTGGAGAGGATCTGCCAAGAGGAGTGGGCCAATATCCCTCCTGAGATGTGTGCGAACCTGGGGGCCAACTCCAGGAAACGTCTGACCTCTGTGATGGCCGACAAGGGATTTGCCACCAAGTACTAAGTCATGTTTTGTGAAGGGGATCAAATCCTTCTTTCCCTCATGAACATGCAGATCCGTCATCATTTGTTAGACGCATTTCTGCTGAATTTGTTGTTGTATTCTGTCTCTCAGTGTTACACCGAACATTCCATTGTTAGACCGATCATTTCTGTGTGAGGGGCGAACATTCCATTGTTAGACCGATCATTTCTGTGTGAGGGGCGAACATTCCATTGTTAGACCGATCATTTCTGTGTGAGGGGCGAACATTCAACATCAGCAGGGGAGCAAATACACATTTCCTTCACTGTATGTGTGCCGTCTGCCTGGTTTGGCATTGATTGGATGTCAGTGGTAGCGATATGTCAATAGTGAATTCCAACCTGTGCACTGCAGTTCATGTACACAATTATTGTACTTATTTTATGCACATAGTGCTGATAC